TTATTATTATTATTATTATTATTATCCGGATAACACAAGCTTCCTGTTAGGCGCTAGAATGTTATAGTCACATGACTTTACTCAACCGGTTACCTATTTTCTGCTGGCAATTTTTGAAGAAACTCACTTGCCTAAGGTGAGACCACATGGATGCTTATTGAAGCTTACAATAGGGGTAACAGGCATTGTGGACACATTATTGACATTTCTGGTTAACGGAGCATCTTTTCTATATGGACCAGTGAAGATCCCGGTTAGAAATGGTCTTCAGCAACCTATGTTTGTCGTAAGAGGCGATTAAAGGGGTTGGATGGTCAGTCTTGCTGACCAGTTGACACATGTCACCGTATCCCGATTGCATAGATCGATGATCATGTTGTTGATCACTGGATGTCTGGTCCAGACTTGATATATTTACAGACCGCTGTCATAAAACTGGAATATTGCGGAGCGTACCGTTAAACAACAGTCAAACAAACAAAACCAACTTTTTCATTTTTAGCGATAACGTCAACCCGAGAATCAGGGCCTAGATTTTCGAAGCTCTCTTAGCGCTAAGATAGTCGTAAGTTAATTTTAATGAATGGCACTTACGACTATCTTGGCGCTAAGAGGGATTCGAAAATCTAGGCCCAGATGTTGAACGTCGCAGCAGGACCTTATAGGGCGGGTTGTTCATCAATAAAATATCTCTGTTCTCCATGTAGACAATATGCTACCAGTGCAGTTCACAGAATCACGTAATGCCCTGAAATATTACTGACAATTTCTTGTGCCATGACAAATAATATACGTGACTGACACAGTGCAGTTGAAGTGATTCACAGATTGGTATGGAACATTATCTAGAAATGGATTCATTGATAGATGTTTAAATGCAGGTTCAGTAGTGTTCATCTGAAAGTAGGTGCAAGGGCAAATTGTCACTCACAAACTGATTTGGTGATACATATTTACAAGCATATTCAATGACGAGTGTTATTATAATAATACGTGTTTAAAACGATCCTATCAAGTGTTGGATCTAAAATATTTTTTGATCACAAAAACTTAACAATGGTTGAATGATCCTTTTGAAATGCTCCAAATGTCATCTGTACCTCAAGCAAACATCAAAGGATGCTCCTGTCGGCTCCGTCGATAAAATTGAAAACGTCATCACCACAATTAGCGATGAATGTTTAAAGTCAGCTCTAATATATTGGCTCGAGGTTCGTTTCTCGATGGAGATTATCACTTGACATTGAATTTTCCAGATCATATTGTAAGTGAACTTACCTCTGGACCTCTTCAAGCACGACTTGCGTTGTACCATGTAGGAAGCGGAGACAACATCAACGCCATGTTGGAGGAGTTGTACAACACTGAGGAAGACGACAGCAAGAATATCCTTATAATAGGCAGCCTCCTCATGACCAAGGGTGTGCTGTTAAGTGTAAGGACGTGCACTTAATTAGTGTCAGAATCAAAGATGATTAAGCAAATGATTTCCCTGGAAGGTTTGTTGTGTCAAATATATTATTAACGATCCCGTGACAGGATCCCTATACATCTGCCACAAGTAGGGAACAGATGAATCTTGGTACATATGGTAGAAAAAGTGTAGAAATGGGAAATGTAGGATGTTAATTGTCTCTAATTGGACAAAGTTGGATGCATCTTCATCGGAAGTACCTGTCCACATGGGGTGTTTGTGTATAAAATACGTGTTTTTGTCAGAGGGGAAATGCGTTGGCTAAAGTGATGGTACGCTTATAGCTTAATGTAAAAGTGATTATAACCTAGTGGGCAGATTGCAAAAACACCAGATGAGCCATGGAATTAATCAGCGCACTTTGTCAAAGACATTTGGACAGAGCTTTTTATTAGTCGATAAATGGATGGCTTCCAACGAAGTTAAGTGTCTCCAACATAGGAATAGCGACATAAATGTAGATATATTGTGTTCCATGCCAATGACTGTACAACTAATCGTCTTGTGGTGATAGGAAATGATTAATTAGTCTTTCAATGGCATATTGCAGTAGCTGAAACATAATGAAAAAAACCAGTAGGTGACATTTTCCTTATCGGGTAACCATAAAGGTAGGTTGCTTCCGGCAACCAAGGCTGATCCTTACAGGCGACTTCCTAAAGTGGTCAGGTACCGTGTCTTGCTTGATGGTATGACATCGCACCCAATCGTTGCTCCCAATATCACTCTCTGAATTGTCAGGCCAAGACTCGATTATTTACAGGCCGATGTATCCGTGAAGATCCTGTTTAGAATTGGTCTTCAGTAACCCATGCTTGTCGTAAGAGGCGACAAACGAGATGGGGTGGTCAGGCTCGTTGACTTATTGACACATGTCATAATAACCCAACTGTAGGTCGATGCTCATGATGTCAATCACTCGATTGTCTGGTCCAGACTTGATTATTTATAGACCGCCGTGATATAGCTTTAGAATTGCTACTGCGGCGGTAAGCAATGAACAAACAAAAGCAAAACAACACAGAAAAAAAAAAAACAAAAACAACAACAAATAAACAACAAAAAGCAAAAACAACAACCAAACAAAAAAATTAAAACATAAACAAAACAAAAACCAACCAAACAAAAACAACAGCACAAAAAACCCCAAAACAAAACAACATCAAGCCGACGTGAATAACAGATGTACATAAAGTACGGCATATGTCAACAAGCAATTACTACCGTACACCAATAAATGAGACAATGAGTATCATATCAAGTGATCGCTATAAATTACAAACTGGTGTTATTGCATTGTAATTTTTAACATCAAACTTTGTTTCAGTGCAGCTTGCATCTGAATTCAACTTTTGACAAGATTAAACAGATTGTTTGTAGTGGCCAGGTTGTCATCGGACAAGGGTCACGATCGTTGCTAGATTTTACAGTCAGGAAGGTTACTTTCTGTGACGTTAGATATTATAATAAGCCTAATGATGTTGGAACATACAGGCCCTGTTTATATTTGGTCACTATACTAACCGGCTAAAATGAATAAGCAATCCTTTCACAGTTCAGATGTGGTAATTTGAAAATGACAGTTGAAACTGTCGCTATGATGACATTGAATATAATCAAAGAATGTGTTTGTATTGTAAAAGTTTTAGTCCATATTGAGGATGAAATGCATCTTTCTTTTATACATTTATCTGTGAATCACACTCAAGACTAAGAGACACTACTGTTTATATATACACTACTTACACTTTGGTATCTTTAATACAGAACAATAATCTTGCCAAAAGAAATATATATCATCAATGTATGTATTTGAGCCTGGTGGCCTGTAACTGAACAACACCTGTCTGTGTCTGTCTGTCTGTTAAATAAATAGGTACGGGACGTCTAAAATGAAAATGATGATATGTCAAGAGTGTCATTGAACATTGGCATGTAGCGAGGATTTGTTGTGGGGTTGTTTCAATCATTTTCAGGGCACCGTGATACAGTTTCTCTGACTGTATCATTAAATTACATTACCACCGTTACTCACTAGCCAAGAGACTGTGTCAGCATGGATATTAATCTTTTAATGTGTTCGTGTGAACAGACAGCAAATAAGAGTCGCTCACGCAAGTAAAAATGATCAATAGAAAAATCGTTGAAATCCAAGCTAATGAGAAAACTTTCCTCTCAGAATTTAAAACTTTAAAACAATGAATTTATCAGAGCTGTGACGACGAAGGTCATCAGTCAGAAGCACATGAACGCCATTGGTCCACAATCAGTTCTACAGTAGTGTAGAATAGCGCATAGAATACTGAAAATAGACCTACCTTAGAGCAATCTATAGAGTACACATGTACGTACAACTATATGTAGTGTGTAAATCAAGCGTATCCTGAAAATGTTAGTTAACACATTTTAAAACATGAAGGTGTGCAGAAAGACCATAGTATCCTGAACTATTTATCATAGCTGATGGTGGCACATATGCCTGGAGCAGTTTTAAACTGCAGATGCAGCCAATGATTAGGACAATTCGTCATATTGTTTACCTGAGTTGTACCTGTATTGTGAGTTGGAGCATGACGGGTGACAGGTGCTGTTGGCTGCGATCTGCAGCTGGTTTAACTGCAATCAGGAGCTGATCAAAGCCTTTGTTTGTTTGCATAATAAATATTGAACGTGAGCCTGTTGTTGTCGGAAGCATTGTTATAGATTTTTTATAAATATATCATTTGAAACGGGACATTCACAGCAGTTACAGTTAAGTTATTGAGTGCATAGAGGGTTAGTGAGTTTAGTTTTACGCCGATATCCAGCTGTATGGCGGTTGTCTATAAATAATCGAGTCTGTATCAGACAATCCAGTGATCAACAACATGAGCATCGATATTGAGTGCCTAGTAAGTGGTAGTACTGTTAAACGTCCATACAACCAATGTTTATTCCAAGCCTGCAGCATCAGAGTTGTATTAAGGTGGACTGTCAGGTATACTTTTTAATCAGCTTGTTCAATTTTGCACTGTAAGCTATAACGTAGTAGGAGTAGAGTTTGGTGCTTTTGAGGTCGCCTTCGCCTGCTGGCATTTCGGCAGACCTATCCCGCCTCGGGATGCGTGGGGTGTCCCTCCTTGGGACGCACGGATGTGGCTGTGGTGTGGCCTCCTTGGGACGCATGGGGCTGGGCCGAGGTCGGTCGGGGTCGGTGGGTGGGTGGTATATATATACATATATGAGGCACTACAAGAAAACATGTTTAAGAATGTTGAGGGAGAATATAATACAAACATGGGGCCAGTGGTACACTAAACGACGTGGTTATAGATGAGGTAGAGAATACAAACACGAGGAAGCCAGTGATACAGTGATACCGTATAAACAGAGGAAGGGAGGCCAGTTATGCATAACATATTTTATGTCAGCAAATATGATTAGTTAAGTTAACATATGCAAACAGGGGCGAAAATAGTCATGTGTCATTAGATTGCGATGTATATTAACTCAGGCTTCTATTATTCCAGGCTTCAAGAATGGACGACAGATCTACAGGGGTCATATCCCTGACATCGTGGATTGTAGTGTTACCAGCTGCACGTCGTCATGTGGTGGAAGACATGGCTCCACGTCTCGACAACGTAGTCGTTGTCAGCTATCCGGAAATAGAGGAGACGTCATCGTGGAAGGTAGTTGTAGACGCTGCATTAGATCATCAGATTCAGCATCCAGCATTATGCCAACAATATCATGTCAGCTTGAAAATAATTCAGAATCACGAGTATTTCCCCCGGAAGGGTCCGGGACTAGCGAGATTTAAGCAGACGGATTATGTATTCTGTTGAAACAATTACTTATATAATTACAGACATTATCATATTACAGAGAGACCGTGAAGATCCGGGTTAGAATTGGTCTTCAGTAACCAATGCTTGTCGTAAGAGACGACTAACGGGATCGGGTGGTCCGGTCGGACTTTGTTGACACATGTCATCGTATCTCAATTGCGTGGATCGATGCTTATGCTGTTGATCACTGATTTGTCTGGGCCAGACTCGATTATTTACAGACCGCTGCCATATAGCTGGAATATTGCTGAGTGCGGCGTAAATTAAGCTCAGTCACTCATTCGCAGAAGCTGATATCCATAAAGTTTCTGACTAATGTTTACACAATATGAATGAACACATAATGTCCTGGACCCGGTTGTATCAAACTTTAATGAAGCGTTAACGTGACATTAAACGTTTATTAAGTAATGTGTCATTAAATTCTGTCGTACTAACGTTTTAATGACGTTGTTTTGTCATTAGCGCGTCATTAACTTAATAAAGGTCCTGGGGTATCATTAGAGCGTCGTTAAACTTCCTGGAAAAGTGAACATTGCGCCAGAATTTCGTTTGCGCAGCACTGGATCTACCTACAGCTAAAACATTACACAGAAATGTAGAGTATTAAATGTCCCATCTCATGGTATAAACTCAGTTTGAATAGTAGACACTGCTAAATGTTACCCCTAATTTTGTTATGCGTTAAAAACAGTAAATTTCTATGCTTTTTATCGTGCACTGATAAAAGTACTGTGCTACTATATTTTTAATTTGGCATCTTTACGGAAAGTGTGAACGAACAAAATTCTGCTTGATACCTGAACGACATAGGTATGTATTAAATAAGTTTGTGTGCTTATGTATCACGTTATACACTCAATCTTAAAAATGACTCGCAATATGTGTTGAAAATGGATTTTCCCCTAGATAATAATATGCTAATAAGTGTTTGATACAACCGTTTTTAACGTTGCCATTAATTAATGATGCATTAAGGATTTAATGTACCATTAGGGTTTAATGTTGACATTAGTTAATGAAGCAATGATACAACCGGATCCTGCCCTTCATCTGTCGTCATATTCATTTTGCCCTGGGGCAATATACCTTTTCGTTAACACCTTCCGTCATCACTATGATACATAAACACATGTTGATGATAAAATGGATGTGGAAAGGATTTTGTCGCTTTTATTGTTGTACTCGTGCGGAAATGCCTGGCGGGGAACGGGATTATAATGAGGCTAGATACGTCAGATTATGTGTCCGTGTTCAGTGGCATGGGTTTTTGTTTGCATTTTCAGTACTAGTATGCCTGTTCATGTTCACTTCGATAGAGGAAACCGTGATTGCAGGTCTAGTGCTCATTGCGCTTTATACAGCAGTTTCAGTAACTTGCTTACGAATGCGTAGGGGCAGTGGGGTAGCCTAGTGGTTAATGCATTCGCTCGTCACGCTGAAGACCCGGGTTCGATTCCCCACATAGGTACAATGTGTGAAACCCATTTCTGGTGTCCCCCGCCTTGATATTGCTGGAATATTGCTAAAAGCGGCGTAAAACCATACTCACTCACTGATCGCTCATTTCAGTACTTTAACAGAAATTAACAGGGTAACACATGATAACACAGCTCAGAGGAATAATAAAGCCAAACTAAACTCAGCGACTATTAACTGATTGAATCGATTGAATACACAAATATTGTTTCAGACCCTGTCCTCACTCCTGTGTAACGCATTGGAACCAGCAAGGCAGAACAACACACCGTCGACGTCATTCCAGGTAGAGAGGAGCCCAGTGTGTTTTCCTAACTTCACCGAAATGTAATTGAAATCAGGAAACGCAGGTCCGGTACCGTGGTATTGATTCACACGAATGGTTTATTTATATAGGGAGTGTTTCGTGCATCTGGAGGATAAAATACAAACAGTATATATGTTTTTGTGGCGATGCACATTAGGTAGTTGTTAAGGGATCTTCTGTCATACGATGTAGGGATTATGAGTTCTCGGCAAATGTAGTTGATGTTGCAGTTGATGTTGATGTCAGTACAGTGACATTAATCACAACGAAATATACTGGTCCACAAAAATACAATTGTGGACAGAAGAAAAAAGAAGTAATATAATGATACGGATAAGGACAATAGAACAACGGCTTCCCAGAAACTAGTGATAGTACCAGAGTACCAGGTACCAGTACCCAATGATAGTTGAAGGGACATGAGGACAACACACATACCCAGCACACAATGATAGTTGTAAAGGTGGTGTCTGATGATGGCTGTAAGGAAAATTGCCCAATGTCTAATGACAGATGTAAAGAGAAAAGCACAACATTTCTCCTTCAACCAAATGAAGTTGTAGAAACATTAGGACCCCAAGTCACCACTTTCCAATGAAGTTGTAGAAACTTTAGGACCCCAAGTCACCACTATCCAATGGAGTTGTAGAAACATTAGGACTCCAAGTCACCACTATCCAATGAAGTTGTAGAAACATTAGGACCCCAAGTCACCACTATCCAGTGAAGTTGTAGAAACATTAGGACCCCAAGTCACCACTATCCAATGAAGTTGTAGAAACATTAGGACTCCAAGTCACCACTATCCACTGAAGTTGTAGAAACATTAGGACCCCAAGTCACCACTATCCAATGAAGTTGTAGAAACATTAGGTAGAAACATTAGGACTCAAAGTCACCACTATCCACTGAAGTTGTAGAAACATTAGGACTCCAAGTCACCACTATCCAGTGAAGTTGTAGAAACATTAGGACCCCCAAGTAGAAACACCAGTCACCACTATCCGGTGAAGTTGTAGAAACATTCGGACTCCAAGTCACCACTATCCAAGTTGTGAAGTTGTAGAAACAGTTGTAGAAACATTAGGGACTATCCAAGTCATTGGGACCACTATCCAATGAAGTTGTAGAAACATTAGGACTCCAAGTCACCACTATCCAATGAAGTTGTAGAAACATTAGGACTCCAAGTCACCACTATCCAATGAAGTTGTAGAAACATTAGGACCCCAAGTCACCACTATCCAATGAAGTTGTAGAAACATTAGGACCCCAAGTCACCACTATCCAATGAAGTTGTAGAAACATTAGGACCCCAAGTCACCACTATCCAATGAAGTTGTAGAAACATTAGGACCCAAGTCACATTATCCAATGAAGTTGTAGACCCAAGTCACCACTATCCAATGAAGTTGTAGAAACATTAGGACTCCAAGTCACCACTATCCAATGAAGTTGTAGAAACATTAGGACCCAAAGTCACCACTATCCAATGAAGTTGTAGAAACATTAGGACCCAAGTCACCACTATCCAATGAAGTTGTAGAAACATTAGGACTCCAAGTCACCACTATCCAATGAAGTTGTAGAAACATTAGGACCCAAGTCACTACTATCCAGTTGTAGAAACCCAAGTCACCACTATCCAATGAAGTTGTAGAAACATTAGGACCCAAGTCACCACTATCAATGAAGTTGTAGAAACATGGGACTCCAAGTCACCACTATCCCATTAGGACCCAAGTCACCACTATCCAATCCAATGAGTTTGAAACATTAGGACTCCAAGTCAACTACAATGAAGTTGTAGAAACATTGGGACTCCAAGTCACCACTATCCAATGAAGTTGTAGAAACATTAGGACTCCAAGTCACCACTATCCAATGAAGTTGTAGAAACATTAGGACCCAAGTCACCACTATCCAATGAAGTTGTAGAAACATTAGGACTCCAAGTCACCACTATCCAATGAAGTTGTAGAAACATTAGGACCCAAGTCACTACTATCCAATGAAGTTGTAGAAACATTAGGACCCAAGTCACTACTATCCAATGAAGTTGTAGAAACATTGGGACCCAAGTCACTACTATCCAATGAAGTTGTAGAAACATTAGGACTTCAAGTCACCACTACTCAGTGATACTGATAGAAACGTTAGGACCACAATTCTCCAATCAAATCACAAGAGACAAGAAATATTTGAAGGGAAATTAGAAAAATATACACCCAGTATCCAATGAGAGTTGTAGTCACAATAGCGCAACAACCCTTTACCATCCAAAACTGTGTTCCACAGGAGATATCGCTTGTGTGAGATGAAATGATATCTCCTAGGAGATATCGTTTTGACAGTAGATTTTGTACAATGCCCTGACAATGCTATGACGTCATGTACTTGACGACGTCACAATGCTATGACATCGCTGCACTGCAAGTCTAATGGCAGTACCATGTTCAGAGATGTACATTTTTCATTGAAAATTAATGAAGAGTGATTTTGGATGATAAATAGAATCTCACCCTCGTGTCTTCTGATATCAAATATATCAACACTCGTTGATAAAAGTAAAAATATCCTCGGCAAGCCTCGGATATTTGTAACTTTATCAACTCGTGTTGATATAATTGATATCAGTAGACACTTGGGTGAGATTCTCTATTTACCAACTAGTACCTGAAGGAATATTAGAACAACAGCTGTCCAATACGTGATGATGGTTTCAGGGAAATAAAGACAAAAGATCTCCAACACCAAGTTATAGTTGTAGGCACATTAGGAACAACAGGTCCAGGGTACTCAATAATATTTGTAGGGACAAACGGAAAACAGTTTTCGAGTACTCAATGATAGCTTTAGGGATAATTGGACAGTGGATCTGCAGTACCAGGATAGCTCGGATTGTCTGTCACGTTCCATGTACTAACGTCCATGGAACTAAAATTATTTCTGCTGCAGGTCCTTTTTTGCCCAATTTTCTTGGGTTTAATTACTTGACTTGCCTTTGCATGCGTTTTGGACAGAGTACTTTCATCTTTTAGCAAACCTCTGTAACTTCACTATGCATTCATGTATTCATAAATACATGCTTATGGTGTTGTTGGAATCCTGGAATTTACTCCGCTTTGAGAGAAAAATGTTGAAATGACAGGTTGTTGTTTTATTGCTTATAGTCACTTGTCACCGTTCCATATTCCAGAACACGACAGCCTGTCCCTGGAATGGATTGATACACACGCTGCTTTACAAGGGAGAGCGTCGGATGTTGAGCCTGGTTGGTCAGTTCGATCTCCTTTGGGACGTCCATTTAATTGAGGAGTTGTTTCCCAACCTAAAGTTGGGTTTTAATGGACGGCTGCTGACAGTGTCAACTAAGGAGGTAGTTAGTGTTAATTAACTTAGTCCAACTATGTATGTATGTATGTATGTATGTATGTATGTATGTATGTATGTATGTATGTATGTATGTATGTATGTATGTATGTATGTATGTATGTATGTATGTATGTATGTATGTATGTATGTATGTATGTATGTATGTGTGTGTGCATGCATGCATGTGTGTGTATGTATGTCGGTGCGTGCGTGCATGCATGGATGCATGCATATATAAATGTATGTATTTTTGGATGGATGCATGTGTGTGTGTATGAATGTGTGTGTGTGTGTGTGCAATCATGTATGCATGTATGTATGCGTGCGCGAATGTCTGTCTGTATGTGAGACTTGCATACTTCTGATCATGACTTCCTCCAACACTAAACTGATATGACGTAATTTAACCGTCAAGCTATACAAAGTCGCACATTGTTCTATAAATAAATTATTTAAAGTATGAATTGTAACATGTTTTATTACCTTCGATTGAGCACCGATGTTTTTAGTACACACTGAATGTTTCTCTCACACCCACAGTGATTTATTCATTACTCTTGGGTAAATGTTAGTAATTGAATGTACGTTTGTTTCAGTACGCCCCCTATGTTTCCATACAGCGAAATGGTTCCATTGTCGAATTCGACGGTCTGTGCGTCGATCTGCTTTCGAATGTTGCTAAAGCCCTAAATTTTACGTAAGTAATAAAGACACAAGAATATATTAACAATGCTCTATCTATGATATAAGCTTTTTTTTATTATCTCATTTCGCTTTCGTTCACTTTGCTTGGCGTTGCATCACGTTGTTTCGCTTTGACGTCACCGTTACCGTCACTTCTCCTTCGTTTAACGACGATGGTGTAGGTGTTAATAACGTGAATGTTGCACTTCACGCAGCCGTCCTCGATTTTCTCACATGAGTACAACATGTCAAGGTCCTTTGTGACGTCCACTGTCGTGATATTGCTGAAGTATTGCTAAAAGGTCTCAAACAGCAATTCTATTGCACTCTGTCACTAATCATTGAACTGATGTCGATAATCAAGCAATCAACTTCCACACTGAGGACACATAGTGACTACTTTTACACAAGTCGAAACCTTGTCAACAAAATTGCTGTGTCAAGTACACAGGTTGTACAATGCATTACTGGCGGGAGTAGTGTTTTTGCATTACAATTTTTATCACAATGGATTAATATCCGTCCACGGTGTCAATTACTTATCACAATTATGGTAAACATGTTTACATGTCTGTGCTATATTTCAAGAAATTGCATTGAGACATTAACATCAAAATAATACACCAGACACTAAACGTAAACCAACAGTGACGGCAATCAGTATCGGTTACGATCAACAGCCACCTGTGAAGATCCGGGTTAGAGTTGGTCTTCGGTATATCATGCGTATCGTACGAGGCGACTAACGGGAACGGGTGGTCAGGCTCGCTGACTTGGTTGACACATGTCATCGTTTCCCAATTGATGCTCATACTGTTGATCACTAGACTGTCTGGTCCAGACTCGATTGTTTACAGACCGCCGCCACATAGCTATAATATTACTGAGTGCGGCGTTAAACACCAACCAACCAACTAAAATCAAGAGGATATATATTCGTATGTATGAATACAAAGTCTTATGAACAAGTCATTAAGAAATTAGATACTTTCATCTTCTGTGAACGTTGCGGTCAAAATAACAAATAAGAAGACACATCAATTGAACAAATTAAAAGTATTGTGTACACAATGTATGAGACTTTTCTGCTTCTCAAAATCTGTCAGTAATACCAATATTCGTGACCTGTTTCATCAGGGCAAAATGGAGCATCACCTAACGTCTTTATCGCAGTCTTGTTTGGTCAGCTGTAATCAATGAAACAGTCGGGTCCAATGAAATGAGGACGTAGTATCTTCCTGCTGAATCAGTATAGGGTCTATTTGGGTCAAACCAAATACCCAACAATTATTTAATTGATGGATAATCATGTGTCTTACAATTGCTCATAAATGTGGAGCATTTTGGGAGATAGAATAGAGAGGGTACACTACAAAAAATAATATTTTGAATAACAATTTACCTTCAATTACATTGTACTGTATCCATGCATCATATACTACTGGAATAAAGTAATGCATTATTTTATGTTAGGCCGTTTTTTAATGCAAAAATATAATAACATGATTTGTGGTATTTTCCTTATTCACTGTTTAACTGTTGAGAGGATAATATTGAAATCTGTAGAATTTGACACAAGACATCGTGACACGCCCTTGAAGAGATGCGGTGTCAAGGTCAGTCGTAAACGTCGTTCCATTTCATCCCAAGCGTGCTCGATAGGAGACAGGTCCGGAGAAACAGCTGGCCAGGTGAGCTTGGCCAAAATTACGTCAAGCCCAGACTCGACGATTGACGTTAACTGAATTTTGACAAGCGTTGGGACAACATTCCCCAAGCTTTCTTCAATCGCTTAGTGTCGTCCATCGTTGTCAAGCATGCATCAACGCCAAAGTTTGACACACACGATACAGAATTTTTGAAATGACTTTTGACCATATCTTTTCAAGGGCGTGCCACGATGTTTAATGTCAAATTATAAAGCAGGAAACACCACAAATCATATTATTAACTTTTTGCATTAGAAAATGGCATAACCTCAAATAATTCGCAGTTATTCCAGTAGTATATCTCAGACTTTTGGGAATGGTGTACATGTAAGCTCCAAACCTTGCATGGCAACAGAAACGCGCCTTACAATGGTAATTACACTCGTGTATATCTCTGAATGTGTCCATGAACCAATTAACTCATAAGTGGTTTAGTAAGCAGAGCTGATAATACCTTAACGATGTTTGTATAGGTACAAACTCACAGAGCCACCGGACGGCCAGTGGGGAACCTTCCTCAATGATTCCTGGAATGGGTTGATCAGGCAACTACAGTTCAAGGTATGTCAGCTAAAGAGCGGAAAGTGATGTCATGTTAATGACAAAATTATCTATAAATGTTATTTCTGCCGTATTTCATTATGCTGCAATCAAACTAAGTAGTTCGTATTAGTTCCTAAACCATCATTCAGTCTATTACACATCGCCTTGGAAACTGCAACAACAAAGCAAAGATTCCCCCAGAGATATCTGGTTTGTTTGACTCACCTGCAACATGTAAAATGTACAGCACTTTATGTTAAATGAAACAAGCTGAAGGCATTGTACATAGGTATCAGAATGATGTGTTAAAATTCTGAGTAACAACCACGCGACATTTGATTACATTAGGCAATAAATGTTTTTATTCGCTATAGACATCATACTGCAATTAACAGCTTATATACACGGGCAGCTACGAGTGGATGTTGGTATAAAGGGTTTCAAGGTACGTGCACATATTGTGCAGGCGAGGGAATGGACGATCGGCGAATTTAACGCATTGCACAGTGTACAGTTCAAACCAGTGTGCGTTAAATAAATCCTCCTTTGAATATTTTTTAATTTTTTACCATGTCGAGGGACCAGCTTTATGTAGGAGTAAGCCCAAGCGAAATATTGATGTAGCCGAATAAAAAAACTAAGGAAAGTTCAAAGTCATCATAATCAAGGAATAAGCGGATCATTTCTTAACCAAGGGGCGCAACTTGCTGTATACGTTCCATGCCAGTCAACTGAATAATAAGAAACACAGCAGAAATACTTTAGTTGACGTGCAAACAAAATACTGATGGATAGGATGGGATGGGTTTAACAACATTGTTGTTATTTGCACCGACATGAAAAAACTCAACATTTCTAAATTTGACAAGGTAATATCTGACACCTGCATGTCTGTGTCATGCAAATTGTATAACTGACCTTGAACTTCAAGAATACATGAGTACATCATGGTCCATGTTCACAGGAGGTGGACATCGTTCTGGCCCCACTAACGGTTCGAGAAGATCGAGAAGAAGTGATGGATTTCACGTACCCGTACTTCTACGATGCTGCAGGCGCCATCTTTAAAAGACCCGGATTGAAACGTTGGTCGACGCTACTGAGACCCTTCAAGTGGGAGGTATTGCTGTGTCTCGGGATAGGGGTTGCTGGTTTGACGCTACTCTTACATGTAATGGAGAACGAAGGAAGGAAGTTTGTGGCTGAATATCAACAGAAGAATGCCGAAAATCGTGTTGCGGAAGACACCTTTTGGTACATATGGGGAACATTTCTTAAACATGGTATGTATGTAATAAGCTTCTTTGGTAGCGTGGCAACACGCCGTGAGTCCGTTAATTTACTGGCAAGTGACTTCACACTGTTGTTTAATGCCCAAAGATGACCTCAAGAGCCCCATGCTGGTTGTAATGTCCAACAATTGTGGTGTTCCGTTTGTCAGGGTCTTTGACCATTGAGTGAGTGAGTTTAGTTTTACGCCGCTTTTAGCAATGTTCCAGCAGTATGACGGCGGGGGACACCAGAAATGGGATTGTTATATTGTACCCATGTCGGGAAACGAACCCGGGTACTCGGCGTGACGAGCGAACGCTTTAACCACTAGGCTACCCAACCTCCCAGGTTCTTTGATCAGATTAATTGTTATAGTACCCGGATAGCCGGGTTCGTATTCACAGTCTCCTTCCCACGCATGACACCGTCGTGACCCTACCGGTATCATTGCTGCCACCTGTGTGCAAACAGACATTACCTCACCGGAAATGCCATGAATTATTAACCCTGATATTTCTGTATATGCCTTGGGGATGTCATGATATTGATTTTCTATTTCCTAGATGACGTAACGTTTTTGTTATCAGATTAGTTCGAGATTGCAGAAAAGCACCTGTTACACAACCTGCATGATTGCACCAATGACCTCATAGTTGAAATCAATAGAATTTTAAGTTTAAATACATATATGGGAAGAGGTATTCGGTTTCAAGATAGTCATCAAAATAACGGTCAGTCGGTTGCAAAATTAACCAATGATCAACAGCATAAGCATAAATATACGCAATTGGGATACGAAGACATGTGTCGACCAGGTCAGCGAATCTGACCACCCGATCCCGTTAGTCGCCTCTTACGACAAGCATGGGTTGCTGAGGATCAGTTCTGACCCGGATCTTCACGGGTACCAAAAGGCGAACAGGAAAAACTACTTTTGAACTTAAGCTTTAAATACAGTTGTCATAATCACCTTTCTCTGCAGATGACCAATAAATCCACTTTAATAGCCATCGGTATTCGTGCCCCATTCTCCATCGGGTGCTTCTACCAATTTAAACCTGATGATAATCGGACAATTTATCGCAAAATGTATTACATCAAGTTTACATTTGCCAACACGCAATACAAGGTTGTTTGTACAGAAGCCTTTGCCATGTGTGCTTTCTGTTGTGGTCAGTGAGTCAATTCTAACCTGGACCTTCACGGGCCGCAAGATTAACAAGGTTCAAGGCCCGTTTGTGACCACGTAGCACAGCTGGAAGTGTCTGGTGAACGCGGTAATACTTGTACAGACAACGCCGCTGTTGAGTGTTCGTGAAGAAAAACTGAAAGTATCGAACCCTTCACAACGTAAAGAACTTGATACTTTCAATTTGCATTGAGTTTCGAGTGTCCCTAACGTCATAATGTGTCACGTCAACCTGATGTTTCACAAATAGAATGTCATGTCAAACGAATGCTTCTATTTGCTTGCCTTGGGTATTTTCATCAGAGTATTTACATGTTCTGTGCAGGTGTTTAATCTCGTCCCTGTTAATCAGAAACACGCCTGATGGGCATATATTGTTGTTATGTCTGCTAATGGATATGTGGATATTATCAACAGTCCACCGGGATAGTGCTGTCTATATGGTGCTTCTCACTCAATCGTATTATGCAACATTGGAAGTACTTTCTGATAGTGTTTGATTTCCCACATGGGTACAGCGTGTGAAGCACATTTCCGGTGTCCCCCGCAGTGATATTGCTGGAATATTGCTAAAAGTGGCGAAAAATTAAACTCACTCACTCACTTTCTGATAGTTCAGTAACTGCGTGGGGCGGTGGTAGCCAAGTGGATAAAGCGTTTGCCCGTCATGCTTAAGACAAGGGTTCGTTTCCCCACATGGTTACAGTGTGTGAAGTCCATTACTGGTGTCCCCCTAGATATCTGAATTTGCTAAAAGTGGCGTAAAACCATACTCACTCAATACATCATTTAATACAGATCAAAATCATAAATGTACTAACGAATGGAATATATTGCCACGCTTAAGATATTTACTTTCTCCAATGTAAACCAAGGTAACACAGAGTGGCCATTGAAGTTTACCGTGTACCCCTGGTCATGTGTCCCATTTTATGAAAAATACGTTGATCGTATTCACGACAATTTAAAAGCTCCTAACATCATAGGTTTGTAATTCAACACAATTCGGAAAAAAACTATTTTATAAGCATACATTGATAGCATTTCGCAAATAAGCGCATTGTAGCACATGAAAATCTGTTTCTATAGGTGATGTGATTAAAATCCATATAATCCAACTATTCCAAATCCTATTCCGAACACGAGGGCCGACACTGCAGTACAATCGTACAGTGCGATCACAGGATGCATACCCAAAGGGAATACTTACTCATAAATAATTAACATTAATAATTTACATGTACACTCTAGGTCGATATGAGCATGTTCCTAATTTTAAAAAAGCCATTTCATTTCATTTTCTCTAACACTTTGTACACAAGGTATGACGAAAGGTCTACTGTCATTCCCAGCTAGAGATTTACAGATTAAACGGGAACAAATGTGAGATAAAACAGGCATTAAGCTTCCTAGTGGCATAAAGTGGTTTAGTGTTTACTGTCAACATGGGCATCTATGTACACGAATTCCATATCATGATAACAATTATCAATAACATTCAATATATGGGTTCTTTGTCACCTCGAGAATATAATTAAGCATCCTTCTCAACATAATCCTAGTGATGTTTACATTTCTACATGCACTTCCATCAGCGTAACTGGTAATATCCCTTTCAAATTTTGAGTAGCATATTTATCATTACATATTTGATTACAGAATATAACTAAGCAATGCCCTTCTCAAGGTTCTACTACACTAAATCAGAATCACTTGCTCACTGAGCCAGTGTCGTGTGTAAACGTCTGGCCTGATAGAGACATGTGACAGCTGTGATTGGATTAAATAGTGTAAGATTGTAAGTGTTTTGAAAGCACATCCACCCAGTAATTAAAACTGACCACAATTTTAAGTATTTAATGCGGTCATTTTTATCACCAAGACTTAATGTGTGCACATGTATTTTCAAGTAGGTGACATTTTGTGCGGAACTGGGGTTGATGTGTTCAGCTTCCTGTGCTCAGAAAATATATACAGGATAAGTTACATGGAATTTGTGTTTTTATTGTATTTTAAAGGCCAGACTGTACCCATGTATACATGGAATGGCTGTTGACAGCAGGTATGATTTAGTAAAAAATATAACGTTACTACAGAAGTCGGAAAACAGATGGGAAAACATTTGGTTTTGTGTAACCTAAACATAGTCCTTGTGATGCTTACATTTCTACATGCACTTCCATCAGTGCAATTAGAAATATCCCTTTCAGATTTGGAGCAGCATATTTATCATTACATATTTAATGCTTTCAGGAAGCCACGAGCGGCCTGTAACGACCAGTGGCCGGGTCCTCGTGTCATTCCTGTCTTTGTTCTGCATCATTGTATCGGCGGCCTACAGCGGTAACCTCATAGCGTTTCTGTCCATATCTCGGGAGACCGTGCCTTTCAGAACCTCCCAGGAGATGGCTGAGCAGACCGCGTATAGATGGGGGACAATTAACGGTAGTTTATGGCAGCTGCAGATTGCGGTAATTACTCATTAGATTCTCATCACGGCCCAAGTACATTGCTGGTTGAATCCTCTGGGTATATATTACTTAATGATGGTGGCTTCGGTTCGTTTAAATTTTATGGTTCTGGTTTTGGGTCGTTTATGTTTATGTTTTGGATTTGCGCATTCTCGGTATTGTGGTTTTGGGTCGTTTATACACATATTTATGTTCTGGATTTGCCCATTTTCTGTATTGTCAAAATACGTTGTTTACATTTCGCTCCACAACTGAAAAAGATAAAACATACAGCTTCGTAGACCTAGGTTAGTGAAACAGAGTCTAAAATGATATTTGCATTGTCAAATGACTATGTACAGCGAAACAAATCAGTAAGGAAAATCATCTTTTTCAACGTTATTTCAAATTGCCCAGACCCAAGTAAAACACTTTGTGGGGTAGTAAAGCCTTATTTGACTAGTTTCTAGAGAATTCAAGCATAAACTCTGGAAAGTTTGGCTTCGGGTAAGGCCTGAACGCTGAAGAATAGGTCACTTTCTCAGAAAGGGAAGGGTGCTAACTACCAAAATGTTGAAATATCTCTGACCAACTTGGGACAAGTGAAAATCTCATTCTATGTCCAAGCTGATAGCGTCATGCGTTTTAGCTGATAGATGACTTCTGTCACACCATGAAATTGAAAATGCAGAGTAGATTGAGCTGAATTAAGCTGTGTCTTTTTTTAAAACAATAGTGTTTTGTTTGTCTGGGATACAATATCAATAAATATTTGTTATATAGTTGTGCTCTGCAAAGCTGAGCCCGTGGGAACCCCAGCAGCATATCCCGATTATGTTTCTAGGTTGGTCTTCAGCATACCCTGAGGAGTATTTTGTTTCAGAATTCCAACCAGAGCGATTTTCAGAAGCTGTGGCAGGGGATAAGCACTTTCAGTGAGTCTGATCCGGATGTTCTCGCTCCATCCTCCAACATCCACAAGAAGAAGGTGGAGGCAGGCAACTATGTGTTCTTCTCCGACAGGTGAGTGTATCACTATGTGTTCTTCCCTGACAGGTGAGTGTATCACTGTGTTCTCCTCCGACAGGTGAGTGTATCACTGTGTTCTCCTCCGACAGGTGAGTGTATCACTGTGTTGTTCTCCGACAGGTGAGTACATCACTATGTGTTCTTCTCCGACAGGTGAGTGTATCATTATGTGTACTTCTCCGACAGGTGTGTACATCACTTTGTGTTCTTCTCTGACAGGTGAGTGTATCACTATGTGTTCTTCTCCGACAGGTGGAAGTATCAATATGTGTTCTTCTCCAACAGGTGAGTACATCACTATGTGTTCTTCTCCGACAGGTGAGTGTATCACTTTGTGTTCTTCTCCGACAGTTGAGTGTATCACTATGTGTTCTTCTCCGACAGGTGAGTGTATCACTATGTGTTCTTTTCCGACAGGTGAGTGTATCTCTATGTGTTCTTCTCCGACATGTGGAAGTATCACTATGTGTTCTTCTCCGACAGGTGAGTGTATCACTATGTGTTCTTCTCCGACATGTGGAAGTATCACTATGTGTTCTTCTCCGACAGGTGAGTACATCACTATGTGTTCTTCTCCGACAGGTGAGTGTATCACTGTGTTGTTCTCCGACAGGTGAGTGTATCACTATGTGTTCTTCTCCGACAGGTGAGTGTATCACTATGTGTTCTTCTCCGACAGGTGAGTGTATCACTATGTGTTCTTCTCCGACAGGTGAGTGTATCACTATGTGTTCTTCTCCGACAGGTGAGTACATCACTATGTGTTCTTCTCCGACAGGTGAGTGTATCACTCCGACAGGTGGAAGTATCACTATGTGTTCTTTCTTCTCCGACAGGTGAGTGTTCTTATCACTAGTGTGTTCTTCTCCGACAGGTGAGTGTATCACTATGTGTTCTTCTCCGACAGGTGAGTGTATCACTATGTGTTCTTCTCCGACAGGTGAGTACATCACTATGTGTTCTTCTCCGACAGGTGAGTGTATCACTATGTGTTCTTCTCCGACAGGTGAGTACATCACTATGTGTTCTTCTCAGACAGGTGAGTGTATCACTATGTGTTCTTCTCCGACAGGTGAGTGTATCACTATGTGTTCTTCTCCGACAGGTGAGTGTATCACTATGTGTTCTTCTCCGACAGGTGAGTGTATCACTATGTGTTCTTCTCCGACAGGTGAGTGTATCACTATGTGTTCTTCTCCGACAGGTGAGTGTATCACTATGTGTTCTTCTCCGACAGGTGAGTGTATCACTATGTGTTCTTCTCCGACAGGTGAGTGTATCACTATGTGTTCTTCTCCGACAGGTGAGTGTATCACTATGTGTTCTTCTCCGACAGGTGAGTGTATCACTATGTGTTCTTCTCGACGACAGGTGACAGGTGAGTATCACTATGTGTTCTTCTCTCTCCGACAGGTGAGTGTATCTTCAGGTCCGACTTCTCCGACAGGTGAGTACATCACTATGTGTTCTTCTCCGACAGGTGAGTACATCACTATGTGTTCTTCTCTAACAGGTGAGTGTATCACTATGTGTTCTTCTCCGACAGGTGAGTGTATCACTATGTGTTCTTCTCCGACAGGTGAGTACATCACTATGTGTTCTTCTCCGACAGGTGAGTACATCACTATGTGTTCTTCTCCGACAGGTGAGTACATCACTATGTGTTCTTCTCTAACAGGTGAGTGTATCACTATGTGTTCTTCTCTAACAGGTGAGTGTATCACTATGTGTTCTTCTCTAACAGGTGAGTGTATCACTATGCGTTCTTCTCCGACAGGTGAGTGTATCACTATGTGTTCTTCTCCTACAGGTGAGTGTATCACTATGTGTTCTTCTCCGACAGGTGAGTACATCACTATGTGTTTTTCTCTAACAGTTGAGTGTATCACTATGTGTTCTTCTCCGACAGGTGAGTGTATCACTGTGTGTTATTCTCCGACAGGTGAGTACATCACTATCTGTTCTTCTACTACAGGTGAGTGTATCACTATGTGGTTTTGTCTGACAGGTGAGTGTATCACTATGTGTTCTTCTCCGACAGGTGAGTGTATCACTATGTGTCGTGTACACTTGGCAGAGATATGTCAAGCTCGTAAAATATGACCAGCTAAGCAGATTGTGTCCATGAGAGGTGCCGACCTCGGCAGTCGTTCATCTACCTTCAAAGGCAACCCGTAAAGGTCCGGGTTAGAATTAGTCTTCAGCAAACTATGCTTGTCGTGATAGGCGACTAACGGGATGGTCAGGCTCACTGACTTGGTTGACACATGTCATCGTATCAAAGTTGCATAGATCGATGCTCACGATGCTGATCACTGGATTGTCTGGTTCAGACTCGATTATTTACAGACCGCCTCCATATAGCTGGAATATTGGTGAGTGCGGCGTAAAACAACAACCAATCCAAACCTTTATAAGCAAGCAGGATAGGCAAACAGGAGGTACTCGATAGAGCGGAGAGACCAGCAGAAGGCATGCCAGAGACAAGGAGGGACGAACACTGACCAGTCAATCCATCCCATCTGCCGTCCAACCGTCAGCATAACATCCTTCCCTTCCCTAGTGTATGTCAGTTCACGTAGCTGTACTGCGAGAATATAAACCTAATTCTTTATACGTCACTAAGACTCGGGTTGTTTGATGAGCGCCAGAGGTGTTACAAGAGTTATTGTGGCAGATTGTGATCATCTTTTTATTCATGTTGGCGCAATATTATTAGAAGCAGCGTAATACCGAGTACCTCTCCATCTGACAGATCGGTGATGGAAATCTGGGCTCAGGAGAACTGTCAACTCACGCTACTGGAAGAGACATTCAGACAGATGACCTACGGCATGGGCCTCCCCAACAACTCCCCCTATCGTGACATGTTTTCTAAAGTGTAAGTATACATACATGTGCACCGATCATGTGACATATGCCCTTTAATATCGATGTGAATCCATGGTTTAAAATTACATCCTTCTACACAAGGTAAGTGCATTGTAAATGGACAAACGTGCTTGATACATGTCCAGTGCTTTGACAGCCCTCATCTTTGCTGCTTATATAGCAGGCATCCTGCAATGGGATGTACTAGTATGTTCTGATAAAATTCGCAACATTTCCATTCTCAGATTGCAAACCCATGAAGATCCGGGTTAGAATTGGTCTTCAGCAACCCATGCTTGTCGCAAAAGGCGACTAACGGGATCTGGCGGTCAGGCTCGCTGACTTGGATCATCGTATCCCAATTGCGTAGATTGATGGTCATGCTGTTGATCACTAGCTTGTGTTGTCCAGACTCGATTATTTACAGACCGCCGCCATATAGCAGGAATATTGCTGAGCGCGGCGTTTAACAACAAACCAACCAAATTTCAGATTGTAATGTAATGACAATTAGCACGTTTCATATGTTTTTGAATTATGATCAATTTTGGAGGCAGGCATGTGAGCATGAATAGATTCGAACCAATGACCATCCTATTTGACATATACTCCTTGTCCTTTGTCAGTCCAATTCACTCCCGAGATATTAATACATAACTGAGCAGATAAAACACACTTGTGAAGATCTCCACTGTCACATTTAAATAGTACTTTGGAACGTTATTTAACTTTATACTATATTTTTCCCAATCAAAGTCTGATGAAGTTCGAAAAGGCTGGTCTCCTCAGTCTGTTAAGAGAAAAGTGGTGGCCTGATGCTGTGAAGTGTGAAGACGACGTGAAGGTGAAGACCCACGTTATAGAGATAGAAGACTTACAGAGTGCATTTTATGTGCTCCTCATTGGATTCTTCTTGGGATTCCTTATTTTGGTTCTGGAGAATTTTCGTGTTCTGGGAATGAACAAACTGTCGTTGTTGAAAATGAACATGAAACAGAACATTAAATAATTCCTTAAAGAGTCTATATAGATGTATTACTGTTCTTCAAATTGTTAACTACCCCGAAAACCATCCAACGCGTTCGGGTACAGGTGTGTGCCCATCATGGACTATGACCATCTGTGCTAATGATGTGTCACCGACAATGAACCTTTTAACAAACTGAAGGTTTGTTACCGAGAAGAGGAAATGCAATGACATAAGCAGTCCGAAAACTGTGTGGTTTATGAACAATGCCTATTGACCGAATATTACTCGTAATGATAACGCGAAGAGGCGCTATATTGTGATGCTGTGTTTTTAACAGTCTTTTTAGTGTTCATTGTACTTGTCTATGATTTAGTGTGTAAATAGATATTGACTGCAGAATGTATAAACAGATGCCTGAATGTCTTTGTCAGTCTAAACATCAAAGGTGATGGGAAAAATACTTTGATGGACATGTAATTGACCCGGTTCCATTAATCGTGTCCATTGTTATCATCTCTGATATCAGGTTATATTGTAAATGGATATGTGACATTGGTGGTGTAATTTTCGATAGTGATTTCATTTGCTTCAGGGGCGGTGGGGTAGCCGAGAGGTTAAAGTGTTGGCTCGTAACGTCGAAGACCCGGTTCGATTCCACACAGGGGTACAATGTGTGATACCCATTTCTGGTGTCCCCCGCTGTGATATTGCTGAAATATTGCTAACAGCGGCGTAAAACCATACTCACTCACTCATTTGTTTTATGGCTCAAATGTGGTTTTCTTGAAGCATCGTAAAATATCACCTTCATAAGTGAGTGGATGGATGAGAGACCTTGTTGATCACCGCTGAAAAGACGTCAGTATTTTTATTACTTATATCATCTTAAGGTAGGAAGGTAGCCTACAGTGACAAATAAAAAAGAACGTCTCTTAACACAACGAGCGTATGGTGCTGATCATTATCGTGGAGAAAGTTGGATTTGGTTCCTCATTAAGGTTATGGGGCGCAACTCTTTGCAGCTAAGACGGGTTCAATCGTGTACATATGAAGAATGTAACGGAATCTGATTAAAACACTGTTCGAAACTCTTGTACGTGTGTGTTTAGAATTGATCTTCAGTAACCCATGTTTGTCGTCAGAGGCGACTAACGGGATTGGGTGGTCAGGCTCGCTGACTTGGTTGGCACATGTCATCGGATCCCAATTGCGCAGATCGACGCCCATGCCGTTGATCACTGGATTGTTTGGTCCAGACTCGATTATTTACAGACCGCCTTCATACAGCTGGAATGTTGCTGAGTGCGGCGTTAAACAACAAACCAACCAACCAACCAATCTGGTTCGCTCAAAGGACACAACTAACCATTTCGTTTCCCCCAGGCATAAGTTGTTTGTGACTTCAAAAGCTTGAAGCATAAAATAGCGAAAGAACAATCAACAAACGATGGTAAATGGCACCAAAGCCTTTTTATAGACAAGACATGTTCAAATACAATACTCATTCTATACAAAGGTCGGCGGGGTATCCTAGTGGTTAAGGTGTTTGCTTGTCATGCCGAAGACCCGGTTTCGATTCCCCACATGGGTACAATGTGTGAAGCCCATTTCTGGTGACCCCCGCCGTGACATTGCTCGAATAATGCTAAAAGCGGCGTAAAACTAAATTCACTCACTAACTCACCCATTCTATGCAAATACAAGTCAATGTGTAACAACTGTCATTTGATTACTTGGAAGGCATTACTTGAGGGCTTCTTTGCGTGGCCGGATAATGCGGACCATGCATTCAAGGCACATTGCAGTAAAGGCAAGGGTTATCCCAACTAGCAACAGATAGAAGGCACTCTGCAGTTGGGATACTTCTATTGGTTTGTGGACGACTTTATTGAAAGAACAGTTACTTCCCTTTGGCCACCATTTTTGCCTCCATGCACCCATCAAGCCACTTTCATGGAACTTGAGAACTCTGAAAATAGACACTCAGATATTCACAACAATATTTGATATTTTTTTTAAAAGGCTACATATAAAGAATGTGTCAGCCTCATATCATCTGATAGGGTTGATGTTCTTTATAAATTTGCTTTGTTCATACATAAGATATTCCACCCGAGAAGATCCGGGTTATAATTGTTCTTCAGGAAACCATGCTTGTCGTCACTAAAGGGGATCGTGCTTGAGAATATTTCGCTCATATGACGACGTGCATGCGTGTGTAGGTGTATGTGCGGCTGCTTGTACTAGCCCAGACTTAAGCTGGTTTTATAGTGCTAGCCCACTGAGATACTATCCCGCAGTGAAGCATGGATACCCCATTCAGACACATTATACGGACTCCGAGCCGACCAGTCCTTGTTGTACCCATAAATGCCGAGCGCCAGGCAGGGACCAACAAGTACCATATTTTAACGTCTTTTGGTATGACGCGCTCGGGGATCGAACCCGCGACCTTGCGCTCTCCGGGCGGACGCTCTAACCACTACACCACGGAGGCGGTCCGGAACCATGGGGACTTTCCTACCTGCATGGACCCTAGTTGGATTTACACCATCCCTTCAACCGCAGGCAATTGTAGGAAAAAATAGCCGAATTTTAAAAGAACAAAAACACTACGTTTAAAAATCTGGTAAACTTAAATTTAACTTTGGAAGTTTTGGGACTTACGTACCCTCTCAGGAGGACAATAATTTTACGATACTTAAACCCCCTTTGACAGTACAATTCAATTATTAAATGATAATTAATATTATAAAAAAGATATTTAACTGTTCTGACATTGAAATATTTATCCCTTGTGATGGAAAGATCAATACAGTCAATGTTGATATGATAATATTCAATGTTTTGAGAGCGCATCACCACTTGCACTTACTTATGACCATAGTAGTTTGTACAGTAATCGCTCTCGAAGGATGATTGGCGTATGAGTGAGTGAGTGAGTTAAAATTTAAAGTAACTTTAGCAATATTTCAGCCATATCGTGACTAAAACAAAATGTATTAACAATAATTAACGATAGAGGATAAAATCCTGTCAACAAAGGACAGTAAAACAACTAGAATATCACAGATATAAATGTTAAACTAGAAATTAAATCTAAAACATTTTTACTAAAGAGTACAACACAATATAAAAATAGGCGATAGATCACCAGCAACTGAAGGTAGCTCACCATACCAGGGACCATGGGGACTTACAGTACCTTTGCTACCTGCATGGACCCTAGCTGGATTTACACCATCCCTTCAGCCGCTGGCGATTGTAGGAAAATTTAGCCGGAAGTTAAAAGAACAAAAATACTACGATTAAAATGTGGTAAATTTACATTTTACTTTGAAAGTTTTGGGACTTACGTACCCTCTCAGGAGGACAATAAGTTTACAGCACTTTAACCCCCTTCGAGGGTACAGCCACTAACAATCTAAGTTACTCATCTAAACTACCAATATTAAAATGATTGGCGTATGACGTTCAATTTGCGTGTGTACGATTTTCATTTTCAAATAAAAAACACTAACAACTGTGTCATTCAAAATGATTGTCAAAATTAATGGTCTACAGTGATTTATCGACCTTCTTGAAAACCGTCAAAATGAAGAATGACACCCCCTGCACGTGTATGGGGCTACTGCGTTATGGACATGCATCCCATGCGTTGTGTTTAGGGGAAGTGATAAAAAGAAATGGTTGTGCGTTCATAAGATGTCTAAGTTCAATAACGCTTATGTCTTCTATCCAAATTGAAAGTTCAAAGGCTCCTACTTTTTTTAAAAGTATATATATTGTGGAAATGACAAATATGCAAGCACACACAACCACAAAAGTGTTGTCTTTTGTGACAGTTTGATAACATAAGTGGATCTGTTGTCAGCTCAGGCGAGTCAACTTACATATTCGACACCAACTCCCCATAAGGCGAGTTCTGGGGTAGTCCAATAGCGTACTGGATCCTGTAGAAATAATCTTTGAGCAGTCGAACGTCGCAGTTTTGTGTGGCCCATATACTTCCAATGTCCGACTCTGTGAAGAAGACATAACCCCCAGCTTCCATCCGTTTCTTGTGGTAGTCAGCTGAGATGTGAAGAACACCGGGGTCGGAATGGTTGGAGCTGAGAATACCATCCCAGATTTTCATGAACGCGGGATTCGTTGAGCTCTGTAAATATAGGGCTGTTTTTACAACAGATTTATTCATTACTCCACACGAATCATAAATCTATCCAAATCAATCAAATAAAATAAGATAATTTCAGTTTCTGAACCAAAGAATGTTCAGGTCTTTGAATGGCATTACAAGTGATACACATAAGGAAGAGAGTTGTCTTCTATTAAGTGCTAATTAACTGCTAAGTGTTGGCGTCCATTCTGCGCTATTTAACTGTTAAGTGCCTGCTTCCATTTGTTCCATCGTTTTGTCTTATTACTTTTGTTGTTATTACATGCACATATATAAGTTTTCTGCCTCATACCATTCAGTCATCTGATGAAGGGGTAAGTATATACTCCGAAACCTTGTGTTCCTCATAATAAAAATAGTTGACATCTATAAAAAACTCTCTTCCTCAAAGAATTTTCGATAATGGGATGCATGTCGTCACTTCTTGATTAACAAACGTAAAATGAAATATACTATTGTGTTAAAAGGGAATGCATATTCATTTGTCATAATCATGTGTACATTGCGTGATCTCACGGGTAATATAATGACGGTAATAAACTTTAGAATTTTACTCAAAGCGCTTTAATCTCGATAAAGCAGGTAGTTAATCAGATCCTATGACATATTTTAACCACTGATTAGGCAGTTAGTGATCGCAGAGGCGTCCTCAATAATCCCAATGCCCTGTACTATATGTCAGCGTTAACGAGATAATGTAATGTGTTATCCAACGTTTGTTCTGTTCTGATGTCCATAGGTCGCCCAGCCCAGATTAGTTAGGGATACTGCCCGAAGGTCCTAATGACACCCCAGAGTTTCTCCGGGTCTGTGATCGCGCACCTGGAACACATTCACCCACAGAGTTCCTCCGTGTATCCCCCACGTGTAATCCGTCTGGTAGGCTACTTCCGGGATGGTGTTAAACGGCTTTGTCTCCTTGGCAACTGTGAGGAAGGCGATGAGATTGCCAGAGTAGACAGCGGAGATGATGGTCGCGAACAGACAAAGTAATCCCACAAATACGGCAGTCGACGAACTTCGTAGTACGATATTAATACCTGTAAATAATAATCCATTTCATTATACTTGATGCCTGAAATGTTTCTTTAATACTATTTTTCGTATCATGCTCACAAACCATTTCTGGATGGTTGCCAAGGGAAGACTGTTCCACTCTTCGTTAAGAGCATTGCCAAATTCATGTGGTGATGACGGAAGGATAGGGCGATGTGTTCGATACGGTTGATGGCACTCGATGCGGACACTGGTCTATTGATATGAGCAGGTATCAACGACCCTGACTCTATGAGCTTCCTTATTATCCATTATGATGAAGTCAGGTTGTACCAGTATAAGACCTCAGATATATACTGGACAAAATAAGTTAGGGATATTGGTATTTTTATTACTGATATTTATCAGTATGTCAACGAATAAATAGATCATTATTCATAATTTCAAAATTTACATATATCCCTAACTATTTATGTCCAGTATACATCCAGAATGTCACTCCTCCTTACGCACTGTGCAGTTACAAGAAGACAAGATCTACGGACACCCCTAAAGAACATGAAACAATGCTTGCAAACTTTTGTCATTGTTATGAAGTAACATTGCTTGTTTGGACGAAAATATTGTCACAGGCGATCCCAACAAGGCATCAAATTTCGCGCTGACATCATCTGTTCCTGCCGAAAATGTGTTGTCACACTTACTTCGACCATTATAGAAACATCAATTCTCCATTGCACCTAATGTTACTTATCATTATTTCAAAATACCTAAAATATTGCCGAAGAAGTACTTTTATTATATACCCATCTAAACTTAGGATAGTGATACAGGGGTGCAATACAGATGACGTGGTCAAATTCCCTTTTGCACCCCAGATTCCGTATTGAAGCCCTGCCGGTTCTACTTTCTCCAAAGCTCGGCACTTTCCGAGATTTTCCGTACCTTATGAAATGATTATTGCTTGACAGATCGATTTAAAAGTCGAACAGCTTGTTCGTTCCTTTATACAAGCTTGTATGTATTAAAATATGAATGAATTTCATTAGAATGGTGTCATTATTTTGCCTATGGTAAGTTGTGAAAGTGGGGCTTGATTCATGAGGTCATGCGGGGGAATGTATGATCTACGTCAGTTGTGTGATCGGTCCACGCGCGGAGTGATACTTAATGTCAAACTAACCTGAAGGCGGAAGTATCGAGAGGCGTGAAAATATGTATCGCTACGCCATGATTTGATGTATTAAGTAACAGATTAATGCAAGATAAGAGGGTATATAATAAATATAGAACGTCATTCTAGTGTATTTGGATGTTGTGTATTGAACTCGAATATGTCATATGTTCAGTCGCTATATTATAGTGATTCATAAATACATGCTCGTGTTGCAGGGGGAATTGTTCAGTCGCTATATTATAGTGATTCATAAACACATGCTCGTGTTACAGGGGGAAGTTGTTCAGTGGACCCTGGGGATAATATTTATGACCAAAAATATGAATATCAACTGAAAATAAGAAATTGGACCAACACGTGTTAAATGCACATGTAAATTTATTCCAATTGCGTAGATCGATGCTTATGTTGTTGATCACCCGATTGTCCGGTTCAGTCACGATTATTTACAAACCTCCGCGATATAGCTGGAATAACAACAAACAAACAAACTAAATGTACAGACGTAAGTTCAATTCCGATCTATAGTGCTTTTCTTTAAAGTACTGCATATTGCCTCTGAGTGATTTTGAAGACAATGCAGAAAACTAGCACACAGGGTTTCCTTAAGTTCAATGGCATAAAATGTCGTGGTAATAGCCGCCGTATTGCTCCATCTGTATATCGCCGGCTTGTAAACATGAATGTATACCAGAAGCATTATGAAGTCACAAAAACTCATTGATTGACATATAATGTCGGAGTAATTAGGCTGTCTGGCCCAGTTCGTTATCCCATGGTTGAAAATGACTACCTCTTTATTTATGAGTAGTCAAAAGGAGAATAGTCTCAAAAAACACGGTCGCTATTTGGACGTGAACAGCCTGATGTACTCGGGGCAGGAGGAGATGCGATCCTTGTGCTAGCACACTATAACGACTTCGTCATCTTTGATTACACTTAATAGTTTATAGGGAAAACTCATGCTTAAAGCTATTCAAGACGTATGTGGTAGTAATTCTGTGATTACATTATCTGTTATTTTAAACGGCATTGCAGATCTGACAAATCATAAAAATGAAATTATATTCAAAAATGTACATCAATATATATGCAAATCTAAACGATTCCAGTAGTCTTCTCTCTATACACATTTTGTAGTATAGCATTTCCCCCTGTTATCTTTCAGTCTTTCTCTGTCTCTGTTTCTAATAATTGCTTGTGATGTAATTAGTTATTGTAAATATCTTCGGAGAGGGGTTTAATAAGTTGAAAGAACTTGTCTCCGATCCTTTTCACATTGTGAATAACATATGTTTAAACTAAAGGGAAAACTATACTAACTTAGATTCGTAGAAGCAGCCTTCAGTGCAGACTGAACCATCTCACACCTGTGATAGGACGATATTGTGTAAGATTTTGTTTTGTTTTTCAAATGAACATTATTCCAGAAATGAAAACTGACCATATTTTTCAATATTTAGTGCTGTCGTTTTTAACACAATGACTTATACTAAACTGTGCAGGCATATGTTCAAGTAGTTGACATTCGGTGCGGAGCTAGGGTTGGTGTGTTCCACTTCCTGTCTTCGGAAACGAAATTAGTTAACCTTGCCAAATTTGTGTTTTTATTGTGGCATTTAGACCATACTGTGCATATGTATACACATAATTGTTGTTGACAGCCTGATTATTTTTAAGACAATGTAATGTTGCTATGGACGTCTTGTGTAACCCAAAATGTTCAAATCTGGCCAGACAATCGCACGAATCTTTTCAAAGAATCTAAACAACTGTTTTTGTAAAGTACTAAACCTTACCTTGTCGAAGAAATATACCAAACACACGGATAGCATCTGCAGATAAATCAGTTGATCCTTCCTTTCCATCTTTATGGCATCGGTGCAGGAAGTGCAGTAGCCCCACGGAGAATACAAAGGCACAGGCAATAGTCACGTGGACCACCCAGCTGAAGGGCAGCGAGAGAATCAACCATTCCTTAACGCTTGAGTCAGGGATGCGATAGACGCCCGTGCCGACGTCGTTGTAGAACGGGTATGTAGAGTCCATGACCTTCTCCCTGTCGTGTGACATTGAAATAGGGGCAACCACCATGTCGACATCCTGAAGAAAAACACAGGTTTTCAGTCTTGAACTATATACTATTCACACTTTGCTAAGGATCAAATCACTTATTCAACAGAAAACTATGATGTGGGGTCTAATTTGGTTTAAATATCTAAGCTTATTGTAAGTATGGATCTTAGGTTTCAGTATGTCATTTCATCTTGTGGATCCCATACCTGCTATTGACAGGGGTTGTGTACTTGTAAATGACTCGTTCCATGATTTGCAAAATGGTTGATTGGTGCCATGAAAACCATTTTTATGGTTATTCATGTATCAAGTGCATAAGACTAGATTAAAGTGGCTGTTTGCCTAAAGAAGGTTTACTATCTTAACATTTATGCAGTTTTAAATGGATACAATTTCAAATTATAAATCTATGTTTAAGTAAAATTGGGAATTTTTGTGATCCTTAGCTAAGCGTGAGTAGTATATGTCACGTAAATAATTGCGGTAAATAATGAGACCTTGGCCAGATAACCGGTGGTTGATATTAAAAACAAATTTCGGCATTGCAGATGTGAGTGACATGCAGTTGTTATCTTTTATTACACAAATATAGTAACATCAGCGCAAAAGAATACCCATTCTTGCCTATCCTCAGAAACTAAAAGAGAGCTTTGAAAATTATATGAATGGATCACTGAAAATCAGTGATGACACCAGGTGTTCCACCAATGGCAGATATAGCGAAATCGCGTGCAGTGAAATAACCTTCAGTCCAGCAACCTGGGCTGTCTCGGATGTGTAGGTTGTTTTGTGAAGTGAGTATATGTTGCTTAATTATGAGCATTCGTCTACACAATTGATACGATGACATGTGTCAACCAAGTCAGCGATCCTTACCACCCGATCCCGTTAATCGCCCCTTTCGACGTGCATGGGTTTCGGAAGATCAATCCTGACCTGGAACTTCGCGGCCGTAAATAATTGACTCAGACAAACCAGAAAATGAAAGTATGGAGTTCCAGTGAAAAGTATGAAAATACAGATAAATTACCTTTCTGTGGAAAGTTTAACCGAGTGAGAAAGTATGAAAATATAGATTAATTACTCTTCTGTGGAAAGATTAACCGAGTCAGTTTGTGACACGGTACATTTGTATCAGGATATCCTGCTTGCTCCATACACCTACTCCTTCAAAACATATAATGTTCGGTATTCAGAGCCAAGTGGAACCATTTCCCTTACAGTTCTGCATAGACGCTTCTTTTCAGGCCCTGAGGATACAGACCAGGAAATGTGTGCGAACTGGTCCGAACGTCCAGGATACGGTGGCATCATCAATCAACAAGACCACAATTCTTATGAAGATATTAGTTTTCGTTAGTTACCGTATTCCTATTCCTATTAGTGTTCCCACTCAGTTGTCATTCAATCAACCCTTCTCCAAATTATTTATGTCTTTGGCGCCAGCAACTGGGAATAATGCCCATGAAACCCTAAAGGGCGAATATTGATTGATTGATTGGATGTTGTTTAACGCCGAACTCCAGCAATTTTCCAGCTGTATGGCAGCAGTCTGTAAATAATCGAGTCTGGACCAGGCAATCCCGTGACCAACAGAATGAGTATCGATCCACGCAACTGGGATATGTTGACATGTGTCCGCCAGGTCAGCGAGTCTGACCACCCGATCCCGTTAGTCGCCTCTTATGACAAGCATAAGTTACTGAAGACCAATTCTAACCCGGATAACGGGTACCAAAGGGCGAACAGGAAAAATAACAAACTACTTTTGAACTCAGGCTTTATGTACAGTTATCATATTCACCTTTCTCTGCAGCTGGCCAATAAGTCCACTGTAATGGCCATCGGTATTGGTGCCCCATTCTCCATCGGGTGGTTCCACCAATTTAAAGCTGAAGATAATCGGACATTTTATCGCTACATGTATTACCATTTATTACAGGCTTAAATTTGGCAACACGCGTCTGGCATGACGAGGATGTTGTTTTTTAACTCTAGCCTTTGCTCTGTGTGCTTCTGGTGTTCAGTGAGTAAATATTGTAATGCTTGGATCCAGTAGTTATAAATATATAGGGTATGAGTAAATTATGAGTTATGCCTCATATTTTCATCAAGGTTTAACAAAAGAACATAACACAAAAGTACACAAAATGAAAAGAAAAACCACTTTCCAATTTAACCTAACTTCTTGAATCAGTTGAATCCAATATATAGTAGTCCAGGACAAATAGAAGCAGTGCGCTGTCAGAATACCATTGACTGTTCCAAAACTCTGGGGACGTATTATGGAAATTGTTACCTACGCTTATGTTAAGAGCTGCCCAAAGTATCACAACCCCTATATTTGTCTTACAGTTAAATCATTTCAGTGTGAAACTGTTTGTTTCCAAACCTGTTTGCACGACTGTGAAAAAGTATACTTCGTTAATTTCATGTCTATATCGAATACCATTTCTAAGACACCAGACTATGCCTTTGAGTATATACCACTGTAAGATCTGCTTACGTGAAATTGAGTGCTCCAGCCATTTCGAGAAGAAGATCGATGCAAAACCCCTCATATGTCGATGTCAGATTATTCCCTTGCTTCATCACGAACGGATACCACTAGATGTTAAATGAGAACATATTGATTTATAGTTTCAGGTTCCCAATTGGCACATTTAACGAGGGTTTACTATCGCAAATACATTTTTTTCCAATTAAACACGTTACGACCTTCGGTGTATTTGTAGTGTCTGACAAGAATCACATAGCATTTGCTTGCACTTTAAAAGGAATCAATTTTTCAAATGAAATTTCTATTGGCTGTCTTTTCAGCCCACGAGTGCATCTGTGTTGAATGATAAACGAGTATATAACCAATAATGGTTGTCACCCCCTCCTCACCCCAACCACACACACCCACCCCACACCCCCTCTCCAATAAATAAAATTGAAGGGGGTGACAACCATTATCGGCATGAGTATATATTTGGGAAGACAAATGAAATGGCCCTACGTCCGATTATGAAAAGGCAGGGACCCAAGTACTTGAAACATGAACATGATAGTCTGCTATATACTATATAATTTAGATATCAAGCATTGATCTGCATGTCGTGAATATACATGCCACCTACTGGTTATCGGGATTAGTCAGGGTTTGCCTTCATGTCCTAATTTGTTCAAACACATGCTATTTAATGAGCGTGAAGGTGGTGGTGTGGTGTGTGTGTGTGTGTGTGTGTGGGGGGGGGGGTTAAAGGGAGTTCTAGGGGGAGAGGACTATTAAATACGCTTTAACACATTTCCTTTTATACTATAAAAAATATATTATATTTGGCCTTGAAATTGCTTAAAGCAGTTACTCTTCCTGAACGTAAAGGAAGAACTCATTTGGGGAAACGAGCAATCTTAAATGTTTACGTATATTATAATATTAAGTAAACTATTACTAAACCAAATGAAGACATAAGACAACAAAATGGGAGGAAAATAGAAGCAAAATGATAAATTTTTCTACAATTCCTGCAAAATCATAAATCAACTGAATTGGTCTTCATTTAGCTCTTTGATGCTTGAAAAATACATTGGGAAAGTAGAAACGTTCTTATGACGGCATGTGGTAATACGAAAATGAGCAACAAGTTTTGTGAACATGAAACAAAAACGTAAACTTTACCATATTTGTAGCCACAATGAAGGGTCTCCCGTTGAATCCACGATTGTGATTTGGAAATATATCTGATTTCGAGGAGCATATTTTGACCGCACCTCTGTTGTACTGACAGACAACTTCAAGGTTCCGCGCGGATCCATGGTACATCAGAGAGTGGATTTCCCCAGACCAGCACTCAGCAGCGCCCTTATATGCCTAAAGGAACACAGCAGACCAAGCAAAGTGTAGCTAGCATTCTTCACTTAACATAACGTCTTCATACTGTCTGAATCACCTGTATACCAATACATATATGTACATATGGCTTTATTTGTTTAAACCATACTTAAAACATCTGACCTTGAAAAGAATGAAGGTGCAAGATCAGATCTGTATTTGTTTTCCAAGGGGAAATAATTCCCGGAAGTACTCACGGAAATAGAAATAAATTGGTTTTGGTGTTTATTTCGTAGTTTTGATCGCGACTAAACTTTGATTGTTAATTATTCTATGACTATCGTTTTTCGCAACTTTTGTTTTTAACACTGTTTGTAAATTATCCGAAATAGATGAGTTTACAGGAAAGCAAATCGTCTCATTTGTACCCCTTGAAATTTCATCAGTCAAAATGTACGTTTCTGATGCAAGCTATAGTATGTAAATGGGATGTGATCTCCGGTTCGCGTACATAATATATTTTATGAAAAACGTCATATACCATTCATCCTTTATTTCTTTTATCCTAGTTCATATACAAAATTATTCATTTAGGGATTTTCTCATTATATTGTTCATGCAAGTTTTACTATTTTTCCCAGTTCATTTATAGCTTTGATTGTCAATTGCACAATCGCTATAGCAACCCACGTGCAGATGCATTTTGTTGTTACCACCCATTGTAGATTGTAACGTATGCAAATCTTTGTTATTATTGTCTGTAAAATGGTATTTTGGATATTGATTTGAAGACCAAATTGAAAGGTCATAGTTGGGAAAAACCATAGTTATTTTAATATTTGCTAAAACTACATATTTTAATAAAGTAATAAACAAATAAACGACAAAAACATTTTATTTCTTTTTCCGTGAGTACTATAGTTTGCACCAAGGCATATAGATTTAATTAATTCCAGATTCCACAATTTCCATACACAACGATATACCAGTTAGTGGAATAAAGAGTTCAATTCTTGGCTGTGTATTCATACCGGAATCCAAACAGGCATCACTTTTGAATATGACCAGCCGCTATTAGACAAACTTCGATTGGTGTATCAGACCCAAACCACGTGAATGTAACTTTCATGAGTGGTACATTGCGCCCTGGTATTAAGATTGGGTGAGGTCAGGTGAGGTAAAATTGGGTTTATCGTCGTACTTGAGAATATTTCGCTCACATGACGACGTGCATGCGTGTGTATGTGTATGTGCGGCTGCTTGTACTAGCCCAGACTGAAGCTGGTTTTATAGTGCTAGCCCACTGAGATACCATGTCGCAGTGAAGCATGAATACCCCACTTAGACACATTATACGGACTCCGAGCCGACCAGTCCTTGTTGTACCTATTAATGCCGAGCGCCAGGCAGGGACCAATAAGTACCATATTTTAACGTCTTTTGGTATGACACTGTCGGGGATCGAACCTGCGACCTTCCGCTCTCCGGGCGGACGCTCTAACCACTACACCACGGAGGCGGTTTATTAAGATTGGGATGTATGGAACTTTATAGTGGGACAAGTCAAGCGAGATGGAAATTAACATGTACAAAAGGTGAATAACAAGCTTGGAGACCTATTCCGAAATTTCAAACATGTGACGGAGGTCCATAATGATAGTTACGTAGACACTATAACACTATGTCTCCACGTCTTGGCTGCAGTACCTATACCCCAAGTAAATACAATTTAAGAACGTATCCTTCCTTTCTACTCGAACTTCTTAATGTCTCTCAAAGATGGTAGTACTGTATAGATAATTCGTAATATGTATTAATGGTCTACTTTGCCTCTTTACGAATTGTACACATATAGTTGTAAATGTACCTCTGGATACCGTGCCTTGTTCAATGCAGGTGACTTTTTTCGGTAAGGGTTTCATTTAGACGAGTTCTCCTGATCGAATTTATTCCAAGAGACATGTTTCAGATGCGAGCTAACATTTCTCCTAATTACCCAAGTCGAGGTTACATGCTCAACCGAGTGTTGAGTTAATTAATACCTTCCTGGTGATAATTGGGCACAGCCAGTTTAATTGGCTGTCTGACATCATATCGATTGTTTTGTCAGAGAGTGGTTTCAGCTATCTTTGGTAAGATAACTTTGTTATAACTTTGCTCGGGTTGTAATTTGTTCATGCTTTCTTATCTGCGACCTGCAGTTGATTGAGGTTTGATCCCTATTGCATGAAATCAAACAATCGTTATACCAGAAGCTTGGGTTAAATTGCTTGGCCAAATAACCTCTTTTTGATTTTGCCAACCCCAGAAGAACTCTGATTCTGATTCTCTATGCAGAGAGATACATATCCGAAACCAAAGAGAGAACAACTGGTGCCCATGGGGTACCTTCTTCGGTGTCTAAATGTTTTAGCCTGAAATGTACATAGATGTTATCAATGGCGAATAAAGTAGCACGTGTATGGATTAAAACTTTTGTGTATTACAACGTCTTTATCCAACCTCTAAAGAATGATGCATATCAAACAACTTATCAATGGCAAAGTAAAGCATTTCACGTATTGCTTTCTCAGTAAACCCTGATGTCATTTGTTATCATGATTGACAAACTATCCTGAACATCTGAAAATAGATATGAACGTATCCCTACGCTCACCACATTTATTAACAAATGGACCACGGATCCTAAAGTTTCCCTTAGTTGAAAAATTTAATCTTTTGACAGAACTGAACACGGTGATTGTAAAAATCAAACAGATCCTTTGATTTATTCAGAATCCACACGGTATCAATTCCGTTAGTCTCTAAAACGTTCTGTTAATATGAAGAAAGTGTTTCGTTGAAAGTATCATTATGCCAGAACTTTGAGGCACGGAGTTTGTGGTTCATTAGCATGTCCCAGTTCCCAAAGGAATAAACATTTATTTTGGTTTTATGATCAAGCCAAAAAGTTATAGTGATTATGAATGTGTTTTGCAGATTTCTCTCTCAATTAACACACTGGCTTTATATGTGGCTACAATGTGTGAAAACGGCGTAAAACTAAACTCACTTACTCAATAACTTTTATGTGGCATTTTAAAATATGTTTCTTATGCAAAACTCTAACAATGAATGCAGTGATAGGTATGCTATTTGAGGCCTTATCTTTGGGAACAACCACATTATTTTCACGTAGGGCCACAATGCTTTGGGTGACAGGTGGCTTTTACAGAATGGCTTTCTTCCAATCACACACTGATTTGTGCCAGTGAAAGATTTTCAGAAGGAAAAGAAATCTTTAAATATTGAAATATGCTGATGATCGACAATCAGATTCAAAACCATGTTTTTTATATGTCACACATGACCCTCATAAACACATCCCCTCTTCTATCATACCATCCTCAAAGCCACAGAAGGTACCTCAAATAAGCATCCCGGAATGGGAGTTGGCGCTGATATAACAGCAATGTTATCAACCCAGCCTCCCACTGCTTCAACCATCGACATATCTTCCTTCGGCATCAAGATCATCCAAAATGATGATGACCGAAAATCAGTTGTCTTCTGCATCCAATCGTCAAACTTGTTAACCTGTAAAATATCAGGTAAATAACGCTGTATTTTTAACTTCATTTCCCCTATCTCTACAGCGACGTGGCTTATCTCATATATATCATTGACTTACACTGCGCAGGTTAAATCAGAAATACACTGCATGATCTTGTTTGTTGGAACTGCAATTCATGTATTGAACGTTTTGATCATTGATTTATTAAATCATTAACAACTAGGAAATATCGCCTAAAGACTGCGTGGACAACAGAGTGTAACAGGAATGCTCTAAAGCTAGGCTAAGGCGTCATTTTGAAAGAAGATGTACTAGGTAATACCGCAACATGAAACATGAGAAATAACCATGCACATTTCGACATATGCAATTTGAGCTGTGTAAATCTGTAGAGAATGGGAATATTACCTGTTTAAGAATTCGTTGCAGACAGAACGTATTACACAAGATAAGAAAGTTCCAGGCAGCGGTGGGATCAATACTTGTAGCTCTCAACAGAAGCTCCAGGAGCTCTACGTCCGTTGCGTTTTTGTCGATGACGAACACCAAAGTCTTGACGCCAACAGCCCATGTTTCATCCAAAATTATTTTCGATGTCATTTCTGCAGGAAAATATCAGGTGTGTCTTCAGACAATAGTTAAAAAGAAACGTGATGAAGTTTTTAAAATGAGAAAGTTTCATTTAAATCTCTTGGTCAATAATATCAAATTACTAGGTCAGTATGAAAGCATGATGTATATAAATACAAAGGAAGTAATGTTGTATTAAAGAGAAAAGCTATTAAATGACAATAAATCACATGAGTTCTCTATGCTGCAACCAACTCAATCTTGATTAGACAATATTAGACTGGCTTGTGAATAATACGTATGATATTATGGTGTATAACATGGTGGCTCTTGTGACGCTGACATCCCATATGAATACGATCTGTGAATTCTGAAATTGTCCCTTCCTTTATGTGGTTATTTTAGCGAGGCATCAGAATTAGCTCACTATATTAGCCCAGTTTCCTCCTACCGAACTACATGCAGGCTGGAATTTCGGCGTTTATATTTAAAAATCTCCAACAGAAACAACATGCAAATCGTAAATATGGCGACTACCGTGCAGATCGCGGTCAATTGAAGGTTCTGCGAAGTGTACTGTCAACTGAGCGTCAACATATATTTTCCAAATATTTTTTTCAAGGTGCTCAAACGATTTGATGCATTTCGCGAGGTAAGACCCGTATATTACATTACACATCTTAGTTGTGGATCAGATCGTCTTGACATTTTGTTCGAGGACATGAAAGGAGGACTCTGATTTGTCAATCGGTGTCACATAGAAGGGACAAGCAATTGAGTAACGAAATTAAAGTCCGGTCCAGCTCCAGTCAACTTGTATTTATCAGGGATGACCATGGTGCCTGGACTCTCAGGTTCGGAAAGTTCGGACGGTTCAACTCTCCGTCGCTGAAGTCGTACGTTCATGCTCAAATAAATTGGTTTTCTAAACACTTGATCTTCTAAGCACTTTAATTTTATGTTTTCTTAGTGCTTTCAATACATTCTCTCAATTATTTTAGTAAATATGTCTTATGTTAACAAGTATTCATCAAAGTCAAGATTTCATCAAAGTTAATATTTCATCAAAGTCAAAATTTCATCAAAGCTAAAATTACTTATGCCAAGAAAACATTGACTTTTCATCATCTAAAGTTGTGTTTGTTGACAACCTACATTAATTTTCTCAAATAATTTAAGATTACATAAAACTTCTGGGTGGAAATTGTCCGGGTGGCAATTGTCCTGCTCCCCAGTCTGGCTAGGATGGAAACTGGACTTCTACAGTAAGTTAATCCCCTTCACGAAGATGTGATGTGCACGCCATTTTGGTAGAGGGTCTGCAACTCTAGACACTTACTATAATACAATATCAATGTATGGTGGGGTAGGTGAAAAGTTCTCAGAACAACTGTTATGGACTGCATTGATGGACAAGATTTGAACATATTCCCCTCAGAGGCCTAGGTCAACCCATTTCTTCCTATCATGTTGGAACACCTGGATGCCACCGAGTAGGAGGTTTATTTCCTCTTGACAATGAAAGAAGGCCTCAACAGCAGAACTGATGCAACAAAAATGAAATTTTATCGAGGGTCTAGATGTGAATATTGTTTTACACCTTTTATTCTCTTATATGCAGATGACGCAGTACTTGTTAGTCAAAGTCCTAATGGACTCAAGAGATTTTAAATGTGTTCCGTATGTATTGTGTGCAGTGGAAATTTGATGTCAATATATCCAAAACCAAAATTGTAATGTTTGGTGGTGGAGTACCTTCTAAAAGTAAACATATATTCTATTTCGGAGAACATGCACTAGAGATTGTTGACTATTACATGTATCTAGGTTTAAAACTACATTGATCTGGTAGGTTGGTACACACTATCAAAATTTTAATTGACTCAGGAATTAAGGCTATGTTCTGCCTTTTAAATACGGCAAGAAATATTAACCTCCGGGCTTTCGATGTAATGCTTGTTCCCATTCTCTGCTATGGGTGTGAAACCTTGGGACATGAATCACTGGAAATTATTGAAAAAGTTCACTTGAAGTTCCTGAAACTCATCTTTAATCTTAAAGTATCTACCCCAACTTACATGGTCTACGGAGAAACGGGAAGGTATCCTCTGAGAATTAAGATTGTAAAGCGATTGATTAAATATTGGCACACCCTTAAAATATCAAACGTTAAATTATCTCACACTTTACACAACTTCGTTACACTACAAAAACAGCACTATGACTATCAAGATAAGTGGTTAAATTTTATTGAATGTACGTTAAATCATTTTGGTCTAAGTAATATTTTCAGAAATCAAGAATGTGTTAACACTGAATGTCTGGCCTTAAAGGTAGTGCTAGTTTTAAAAGACCAATTTACTCAGAGCTGGTGGTCTTTAATGAATAATAGCCCCAAGGCTCTTTAATATAGGACTATAAAAGACTCTTTAACATTTGAACGTTACTTTTTTTCTTCCAACTAATGTTTATATCCCAATTCTGAAATTCAGAACAACTAACCACCTTCTACCCATTCTATGCCATTGGGAGGGCATAACCAGAACCTGTAAGTTATGCGACTCCCCCGCAATAGCTGATGAACTTCATTACTTACTGAGATGTAGTTACTTTAATGAAATTAGACTAAACTATATTCCTTCGCAATACCTTAAATGGAAAAAATCTGGTTACCTTCAAGCAACTAATGTGTACAATGGACTACCTCCTGAAATGTGGAAACACGGAGGTCATATTTTACTACCTTATTTGCATGTAACTTTTTAATTGTATTTTTAACTCGGGAGACTTTCCTTCTGCTTGGTCACAAAGTATTATCTTCCCACTTCACAAGAAGGGGAACAGAAATGATGTTAATAACTATAGAGGTATTTCTTTGATGGACATATGCGGAAAAATATTCACTTATATTTTAAATGAAAGACTGAAAGCATTTGTTGATGTGTATAAGTTAAATCCAGAATGTCAAGCTGGATTCCGCTCAGGCTATTCAACTGTTGATAATGTTTTTACCTTACAGGCTTTAATTCAAAAATACTTGTCCAAGTCTAAGGGTCGATTTTATTGTTTATTTGTTGATTTTCATAAAGCATTTGATTGTGTAAATAGAGATCTATTATGGTATGTTCTTTCTCAAAACAATATTCGTGGTAAAATGCTTTCAATAGTGCGTGATATGTACAATAAATCAATTTCAGCTGTAAAACTATCAAATTCTAGCATTTCAGAATATTTCAATTCCTTGAGTGGTGTACGACAAGGATGTATACTCAGTCCATTATTATTTAGTATGTTTGTAAAACAACTTGAAGAGGATCTTACATCGTCTGACGAAAGAGGTATTTTTGTTGGAGCAGAATTTCTAGAGCTCTTTTTATTATTCTATGCTGATGATTTATGTATATTTTCTGACACAGTTATAGGTTTACAAAGAAAGATTAATATTTTATCCAAATTTTGCACAAAATGGGGCTTAAAGGTTAAGTTTACAAAAACAGAGATAATTGTTTTTCGCAACGGAGGTATAGTGAAGAAGACCGAAAAGTGGATGTTTAACCATGTGAAGTTGAAAACTACATGCTAATACAGCTATCTGAGTATTTTATTTTCCAGCAGACTATCCTTGTCAAAAGCAGTCCAGACTCTCGTTCAGAAAGCTAATAAAGCCCTTTTCCCCAATTAAATAGCTTCATCTTAAAATGAAAAATCTTTCTCCTACTTCCTTATTTCAAATGTTTGATACACAAATTAAGCCTATCTTATTATATTGCTCAGAAATATGGGGTTTTCAAGAGTGGCTAATTCTAGAAAGATTTCATGTAAAATACTGTAAATATGTTCTTGGTGTTGGTATTACCACAACAAATGAAGCTGTTTTATCTGAATGCGGTCGTCATCATATATGTTGTGATTCTATAATAAGATGTGTTAAGTACTGGTGTAAATTATTAATTATGGAAGAGACTAGATATCCAAAACAAACCTATATTATGTTAAAAAGAATGGACGATATTAACCGCAAGCCATGGGTAACTGAAGTGAGGAAATTAATATATATTTATGGTTTCAGCTATGTGTGGTAGTTTCAAAATATTGTTAACACCGATTTATTTTTTAAACAGTTTTCTCAACGAGTTAAAGATTGTAACATCCAGTGTATATTTTCTATGTTAAATGAACATTCTAATTTAGAGTTCTATTCATGTGTCAAAAGTACGTTTAATATGGAATCATACTTGTCAACATTATATAACAAAGATTTAAGAAGATTTTTATCACTTTTAAGATTCGGTGAATTAAATATTATGAAGAATACAGGCAGAAGAAATAATATCCCAAGAGAATTAAGATTTTGTCCATTTTGTAAGAACATTTTAGAAGATGAGGTTCATTTTATGTTTATTTGCCCACAATATGATGATTTAAGAACAGGATACATGTTAAATATTGACTGTAAAGATAGAAACTCTCTCATTCGCCTTCTTCAAAATGAAAATAGCAATTATTTATATATGTATGCAAATTATATTAAGGAAGCGTTTATGCGACGTAGCGCATTATTATTGTGAATATATAAAATATGTTCTAGTTATTGTGCACATCATACCTTTTGTATTGTAATATATATTGTACATGGGCCTGTGGCCTTTCTACTGAATAAAGTTATATATGAGAAATGCCTCATCTGATAATGCAAAAAGCTGCACATGGATGACGGGGTAAGGATTGCGTAGGCTTTCTCCATCATAGCTGACACCTCTGAAAGTAGTTGTGGAAAAAATATGATGGAGCCGACATATTACAAATATCTTCTAAAATATGTCTATGTCTGTTTGGGTCAATTATCGACTGAAATCACGCTTTCATTTTGCAAAAACATCATTTTGATCTTGGTTTTTGTATTTTAATTGTTTTTCTTACATTTAAAACTTTCAAAATTAATAGTGTACTTTTACGCTGAATATGAAAGCTTATTCATCTGAAAGATAATACCTTTTTATCAAATAAGAAAACATTTTAAATCTATCTTTTTGTTTCTCTGCATCGGAAAAGTATTGTATTGCTTTTAATTGCTGCGTGCCCTAAATGTGCATTAATCCAACATTTTGTATTGTTTATATAATCTTGATAACATACGCGTGGAAATCAACGAAAATGGATGTCTGACATCTATTTTAGTAGATACAATCTTCCATTCTTGACACGTCCATGTGAAAAGTGCGGATTCCAGGCATTGCACGCTGGTGCCGTGCTCGTTCTCACTCTCAAACAAAACTGAAACAAGACATAGTTTGCATATTATTTTAATGATTTGCTGATACTTAAGAATTGAGAGTGGAGAGGTTATAAATGTTAACATGTAAACATTGCTGTACATAAGTCTAAAACAAAATACCTCCATAATCGTATACACATCAATCATTCAACAACAAAAGGTTCACAATCTTTAAAATCAAATGACAAAGAATATATCTTTTTACAGAAACTCAAGGATGAACTGCTGCTAAAGATAAGCCCCAGTATTGAACATCATTGTAACCCAGGCAGACATGTGGTTAATAGCATGAGCACCAACTCATGCCATCGAGGCATGATGGAACACAGTTAAACATTGTAACAGTGTAGGAGTTTGGTTTTACGTCGCTTTGGGCAATATTCCAGCAACATCACGACCAGGAAAATCAGAGATGGGCTTCTCACATTGTACCGATATCCGGAATCGGTGTGACGAGCGCACCTCTCGCTCTTCAGGGGCGGTGGGGTAGCCTAGTGGTTAAAGCGTTCGTTGGTCACGCCGAAGACCTGGGTTCGATTCCCCACACGGGCACAATATGTGAAGCCTATTTCTGGTGTCCCCGCCGTGATATTGCTGGAATATTGCTGAAAGTGACGTAAACCCATATTCACTCACTCACCCACTCCTCAGCTGAACGCGTTAAGGTCACACGTGTAAGCAACGTTCAGTCAAATTCCGCTAGTCAACGAAATAATAAATTGCATTGCAATCAATCCTGTCATAATTCTCTGTGTTTGTGTATCCTGAAATGCAATGGAATTACCTGTACTGCAACAGCTTTGTCTGATAGATGCTTACGTTTGTTTGTTTGAAAGTAGAGAATAAACAATTCGCTAATGAGTTTTTGTTACCTTCATTCACAGTAGAGGTTGTTGCCCATTAATTATGGTTAGCTAGTAATGTTGTGACAATGTCAACACGACCTGATGATGGTCGAAAGCTAAACTTGCAAGATGACACGCTGTGCAAACAATGTAAACCAATGTAAAGTGACCACTAAGTACATATTATTCTGTTCGATTAGCGCCTATGAAATTCCGATTTTTATAAAAGGAGTTCGTGATAATGGACATTGTTTGCATAGCATAAATGATCATTTGATCATCGAGAAAGTACAGATCGATAGGTACAGGTATGTTTGGTTACATGACTCTGCGTTGGTCTCCTATGGTCTGTTGTTGCAAAACTCAAGTCTACAACGCATGAATCTTTTTTTCTATTTACTTAAAATACTTAAAGAAACAATGCTTATATTTAGTGTATACTATTTTATATGTCAATGTTTATTGAAAGAAACAAATATGCAGATAGGTATACAACCAACCTCAAATGCAGGCTCACAGTGCTATTTGATTTTAGAGCTTTAGTGAAACGCAAGGATTTGGGGGTAGCGATAACAAACCAGGGAATATAACCATGGTGAATCCTTCAATAATCAATTATGTACATGGGATTGCAATCACCAAATACAAACCACTCTGCCAGCATTTCCTCCTGGTCGTGAGTGAGTGAGTGAGTTAGTTAGTTTTACGCCGTTTTAAGCAATATTCCAGCAATATCACGACGGGGAACACCGGAAATTGGCCTCACACTTTGCACCCACGTGGAGAATAGAACCCGGGTCTTCGGCGTGACGAGCGAACGCTTTAACCACTAGGCTATCCCACCGCCTCTGGTCGTGAAAACGACTGTAATAGAAGAATATCATGGATGTACATCCATTGATGAATGGATGAAAATTCTCCCAGCCACCATATGAAAAGAAATTAAGCCCGACTTGCTAAGCGTGAATGAATAAAGTCCATGTGTATGATGTTGATGATCGTATAGACTGCTAGGGCTGGCGTTTGACACCCAAACACATCAGTATGATTCCCATGTGTGGTTTTAGCACTTGATGTTATCATGAAATCTCTGATTTGAAACTCTTGAGTTGTCCAACGAAAACAGTGATGACATCCAAACACAATATATTTTTTCAACACTTAAAAGTCATGCATATAGAGGGATGGAGAATTGCAAAGATTGACATCCATAAAATCTCCACTCCACCCCCACCCCAAACCCCAGCCCCAGTAATCTTTTGTTTTCATTTTTTCATTTTAGTGAACTGCTCTGTTTTGATTGTCTTCCTACAAGTACTGATCCATCGATTTTGCTTGAATATACACTGCTGATCGACTGATTACTCTTTCTATTTTTTAACGTTATATTTGCCCGATCAGAAAATAAATGTTAGGAAATGACGCAATGTCGTAAAAGACATCCAATTAGAAAAGAGTCGTCAACGTTGCAAGGCAGAAGGATGACAAAACTGACAGATCTAAAAATAGTTCATTATCTTCCATGTTCAGTCACATCATAATTACACAAATAAAACGTGCCTGATTAAAGATTCGAGGCATTCGTGTGTCAACGTGTATTGCAAATGACTCGATTTCTACATAATGACTATGCGTAAACTAATATGCAATTGAAAAAACCCATTTGCTTTCAACACAAAGACAGTGTACCCACAGTGTATGTCAGGTGGTGAAGTGCATGTTTAATGTAAATAGCTTCAGAGATGATCCGGGTACATTAAGTGCTCGATTTGGATTTACGACAATTGACGTTGTGTGTTCATGTAACTATGACTACAGCTAAAGCTAAGTGGAACGATTTCCAACACACACTTTGATCAGTGTTTGCACGGAATGGTTGAATGTGTAGAAAGGACGCAGATGTGGAGCACAGATGTGTAGTGGTTAGCATGCTGGCCTCCCACGCCAAAGGCCCGGGTTCGAATCCCGGTGGAGACACCAAAATTTATGTCCTGGGTCTCATACTGTGTTGTGACCCCGGGCAAGGCACTTCATCGACACTGGACTCAGTCCACCCAGCTGTTTAAAACGGGTACCTGAAAAGCGGATGTACGGACCTATACGGTCGCGCTTAGCGCTTAGTAGCAGCTTTGAAAGTACAATTCCGTCAGGGTAATAATGTAACGCCAGAGAACAGCATCGCGTTGGATTCTAGGCGCAAAAAAAATAGCATTATTATTATAGTTATACAGAAGGGAAAGGAACATCCATTCTGTAAATGTGTAATTAGCGTGAAAAATCTAGTAACGTACACTATTAATTGTCAACATTCAGAAAACAACCAGCAACGATCTGTTACGTTCTAATTTTGATATTTATGTGGGTTGTTCATTGTCTTGACACGGATCTTTGTACATCAGGGTGAGCGAGTACAGTAGGGTCTATGGGGAACATACCTATTTGCCTTTGAATTGCATGTGCTAAGCGGTGGATTTTGAAGCGACTATTACTTCCGGCGTGTATATAACGCCTTTGTCGCTTATAACAAAGAGCTATTGCCACTTTTGAATATCGGAGAAACCAGCTTTCGTTAAACACCGTTATATTTCACCAACATTCTACAGGTCATCGTCTTATTCTGAATATTTAGCTTGTTTGTTAATACTGGTTTTAATTAATGGACCGTACTATTACTAGCGTGACGTCAAATGAAACATTTGAATCAAGGTTTCCCCAAAAGTCTGTCGTATTCCTTCTCTGTATACATCAAGTATTATCGATATTGTCTACCGCCTTAACGATTTAAGGATTTCTATTCGTGCATGTTTTAAACAGACGTGTACCAACTGCCAACCTTACAGCTTAAACATCTGGTCTAAGAACACGCACTGAATTTAATTTTAGAGCATGTTGTTTTCTTATATTAAAGTCTTAACCATATTTTCTTTCTACTAGATAAGAGATACACATAAACACATTATCAATACCCGAGTTTCAACATCTTCGCTTCTAATCCATTCTCTTGGGCCTTTCGTGTTTCATTACATTGATACAAAATATTCGAAAAAATGTCCTAAGAAGGGTGAAATAAATGGCCAACAACATCTTTTCCAATGAGAACGATCCTTTCCTTCCTTCTTTAATGTGTATTGTTTTTGTGCAATTTGCAAACACCTCATATCACAATGTGGAATGATTCAGGAAAGACTGAATCTACTGTTACAAGACATTCAGTTAAATCATGTTCTTATGTTTTAGATCACCCATCGCAATAGTCAAAACTGAAACTGAATTGTTCAAAATGATTTTAGTGAAAACGTCACCACCATGTGAAAATGTAATACAATCTCCACAACATATTTCCCAATATGAACCTGTCCCCACATAAAATAGTATTTATTACAATTTGATAAACGGTGACAGTATATATACTCACTAGCATTGAAAACGCACCACTTACACAAGTAGAGATTACATAAAGCACGTGTAAGCAATTGATAGTTTTTTAGTGAATAATAACAGATGGACGACTGACAAAAACAAGAACACAGAGAAAACGCTCATTCATTTAATTGTTTCACAGTCAAAAAGGATCAAACCCATGAGGGGTCAAATCGAAAAGTCAATATTGCGTGTGACCGCTGTTTGCATTAACACATGCAGTGCAACGTCTCCTCATTGAGTAAGAACAAGCGTAAGAATAGTGTTCTGGGGGATGGCATTCAACTCCTTCAGAAGTGCAGCCTCAAGTTCCCGGATGTTTCGCATCTGTTGTTGCCGCGAAAGACGTTGACCATTTTCGTCTCACAAGTGCACAATAGAGGATAAATATGGCGACAGTGCTGGCCAATGAATTACCAGGATGTGTTGCTGGGCCAGATACTGCATGGAAAGTCTAACTGTGTGTGCCCGTGCGTTGTCCTATTGAAAAGTATGGACATCTTGGTGGTGATTGAAGAATGGCACGACGTAATTCTGAAATATCTGGTCACGGTAGTAAAGGGCATTAACACTCCCTTGACAGACATGAAGGCAGTCCTGTGATTGTAACTTATTCCATCCCAGACCATAATACTCTCACCACCCCAATGGTCTGTCTGAACCACACACTCATCAGCATAACGTTCACCACGTCTACGCCAAACACATTATCGGCCGTCAGCATTACGTCGGTGCAAACGTGACTCGTCAGTGAATACTACACCATGCCATTGTTGTAACCTCCATTGAACATGCCTTTTAGCACATTGTATACGCTCATTACGGTGTCAGTCAGTCAGAATTGGTCCAATGTAATAACGTCGAGCATGGAGCCCGGCAGCGTGTAGACGGCGTTGCCCGGTATCGGCGCTGATGACCCCACGTCGACCTTGAACTAGTGCAGCAGTCCTGGCAGCCGGCAGCGTTCGATCACGGACATGGTCATGGACAATATGGCGATTTTGACGGGGCGTCGTGACACGTTGTTGCCAAGGTCGTGGAAGGTCACGGGTGCTGCCTGTCTGCTATGAAGCCTAACGATGGTTGAGTGGCTACATCCAAGTCGTCGAGCAATATCCCTGTCCTCGTTTCACAATCGTTAGTGAAGAAATGTGAATAGTTTCTCATACACCCGCTTTTAAGGTCATAGTCAGCATAATTTCAGAACGAAATTCAATTTTTTCATGGCGTGGATGCATGTTGTTGCGTTTTGAAGTTAAGATTCATATTGTGAACAGGAACTCGTTTCTAAAACATTTTTTCAACTGGACATGCCCTGTGACTTCATGTTAGTCATATTCATTGACAAATGTCATGCAGAAATCCATCTTGATGAAAATATGGACAATTTTAGACTGGTGCGTTTTCAATGCTGGTGAGTATATATTAAATCAATTTTAAATCTATCATCATTTACACTGAAACGTCATCAGCCAGAACATGTCACTAATACCAAAGATACTAAACACGTGTGGGGGTCTGTAATACAGAATGCCGGGCTAAATGAAATCCCCTCTAGAAAGAAAAGGACTTCAAAACCCTAAAGACATCCTGTCTTTATGTCATTCATAAATATTCACCACCAATTTCCTTAAATAATAAACTGTCCTCTAATAATAAATATTCTCGAGCTCAGTATGGCTGTTGGCCGTTGTTGAAAACAACAAACCCTAATGAGTTATTGTCGACATAATTCCACCCAGTGATTGTTAAGAGCACAAGTCCCATCTGCAGTCATGCAACATGGAAGTCACTCTATTATTATTATTAATGGTCTGAGTAAAAAAAAACACGTCCTGAAAAGACCTGAGTTCATTACCAAACATCCTCTTATTATTTTTACAAAAATATAGCAAAAGTAGGATGTGGGGAAACTATAGTCACACCACACATGTGATAACCATTTATACCTAAATTTGATGATAATATTTAAATATTTGGTCATCCATTTATCATGTTTTCAGTTAATTTCAAATCTGAACCCTTTTGCCTATTGCTATTAGCCAGGGAGGTCAGCCGAAAACTACCTTAGATGCTTATTTCTAGATACCTCAGTTAATACTGGACCGACTTGCGCTCATATACCAATGATTTTAATTTAAAACGGTAACCTGGCATGTTCCTAACATAAAGTAACATAGAAGGTACATGAATCCATTTCATCCTAGGGAACCTTACTGACTGGAGACAAAGATGCTGGCAAGAGATATGCCTAGTATAATCAAGTGGGCGGTAAGATACACAATTTGGCCATCGCTCCTTCATTGTGGCAACAAAAAACCACACACACAGTTTCCATGTTAATAGAAAAATGAGAGACGACAGATATCAAACTGAGAAGCATTCCCCAAAGTCTGTTTCAGTTGGAAAATATCTTAACTATTCGGAGAATGTAACACATATTTGGGATTATACTTTCTCATTACAGTACAGATTCTAGAACTTTAGTTGGGTTGAGTCCCAGGATTCAAACCCATACCCTGAGAGTCAGGCACCTAATTGCCAGCACACTAAGTCAGCCATCTAACTCACTCTCTCCGGAGAATGGGTTCATTAGATGGAGAACAAATTATTGCAGTAGGTATATTTTAAATATAAAGGAAACATCTGGAACAGATAATGCTGTCCGAACGGGTAACTTAAGACATCACCTCATTTGTCAGTGGGGTGCATGGCAAATAACATAATGGGCCTCTGTATCCGACATTCAGTCTGTATCCGACATTCACGTTTAAGGTAAGGCAGCATATCCTATACATCTATAGTGAGTGAGTGAGTTTAGTTTTACGCCGCACTCAGCAATATTCCAGCTATATGGCGGCGCCTGTAAATAATCGAGTCTGGACCAGACAATCCAGTCATCAACAGCATGAGCATCGATCTGCACAATTGGGAACCGATGACCTGTGTCAACCAAGTCAGCGAGCCTGACCACCCGAACCCGTTAGTCGCCTCTTACGACAAGCATGGGTTACTGAAGGCTCATTCTAATCCGGACCTACACGGGTCCTATACATCTATAAGAAGTACAAATATCCCTCAGATACAATGCGCCTTCAGGAGATCACACAGATGTGTCTCACTTTGACCTTTGGATGGTTGACGAAAACAGCTTGTTAATATTAGCTGTGTGGATGATTTGTATACTAAACCAACAAAACTGGCCACTTTCATATCGTTGACAGTTTAACACATAACTATGTACATTAGCAAATTGTATCGATCAGTGCTTTGCTTGCTTGCATTGCCGATTGATACGGGATACATCAATACCCACCAACAGAAAAGTGCAAGAACATGTGTATTGTTTCTATGCGAATTGGAAAGTCTTTCGCCATGGCTGTGAATAATCTATAGAACGGTCCATATAATCACCATTCTAATTCAACTTAGTATGTAACACGAGTTCTGATTGGTCAATGCTATACATTTCCGACCGTATAAGCAGCATATACAGCAATTTGAAAAACTATTCACCAAAACTTTTGAATGTATCCCTACACTATTGGGGTAACGCTGTTTTTCAGGGCATTGTCATTTGCAGAAGCCCTAGGTTAGTTGAACTCCCCTATTCCGTTAAAATGGATGGAATTTGTGTTAAAAAAGACAAAACAGTATCATAAATTTAATTGTAAGTTCAAACAACTTACTCGCAACGGGCTGTTGCCCCAACACTGGTCGATCATGAAACAAGATTTATGACGTCATTATGGAGCGTGACGTCACCTGATGTGACGTCATTTGACAACAGAACAGATAGTGGCCCGTAGTTGAGGAATCACCGGCCTATTATCATTTGCAGCGACCCGCCCATTTCTGATAACTATAGGGCGGTTTCATGATAATTCCGTCTATTTTAGCTATAACACTATAATTTATTCATCATTGTCAGATTTAGTCAGTGTGCACATGATAAACGTGTTGAAGTTTGAAAGGGATCTACTTTTTCTGGCGATGGTGTAAGTTCAAGGAGTGATATGATTTACCTAGAAACACTTTGACCTGTTTTAAATAATGAATTTCTTTCACGAAAAAACAGCGTAAAACGAGTTGCCGATATAACTAAATTTGCGGCTATATAACCACCGGTATACGTCCCCAATTCGTCAAACACAGTACAGTTATCCCCTAAATAACAAGTTCCTGACGAGTATTAATTGGCACTACTAGTATACTTTGTAATCAGGTAAAGTAGCGATTATATTTATTGACCTGTCTGTTTTGAATGGCATACCGACCAGTTGATAATGTGTGGGGTGATGGTTGTGTGAGAGATGGTCGCTTTGGATGGTTCTGGGTGATTCGGTGAATGCCCGAGTTTAAACATTATATTTTTTGGGTATAACCTTGGGGTCAATCATTTTCAAGGCTTAACTTGTCTGGAAACAAATTATACAATCGCAGTCTCTTACCCTCAGTTCTTTTTTCACCTCTGAATGATTCCGAATGACTTTGATATGATCCTGTCACATCCTACGGACAATTTTATTTGTATAAAAAGATTACTTATATATGTATGTAAATGTATGTATCTAAATAAGCAAATGTTTTATCCAGAATGTTTTATGGTACCATAGTTTTAATGACGTTAATAGCCAGATGTCAAAGTCATGAAAAAAATTGTTCAATAAAATATTTTTGAATTATTTTCCATGTAACGGGGCATGTGACATCATAATGGATACATCTATTCTCACTGAAGGCCTGTGTTCGATGCCTTGCATAAGTGCGTTAGCGTATTTCTGGTAATTGCGGAATTACTGTTTAAGATGGCGTCTGACCATACTCAGATTTTTTCCCCCAGAAAGGGGCGATGAAATAGTCGAAGACCCAGGTTCAACACCCCTTGCCGTGATGTAGATTTAATATTGCCAAAAACGTCCAAAGGTCATAATCACCCGCTCCTCGCAGAAAAAAAGGTACTCATTTCAGAAAAGATTTTGAAGAAATTGAAATAATCAAATCAAATAAACACAAACACTGTATAATTTGACATAGCATTGTAAGTATGATGAAAAGAAAACAGTATTAAAGTATAACAGTATTATTTGTATTAAAGTACTGAAGGCAAATTCTTTAATTCATGCTAAAAATTGCAACGATGCGTACCACAATGCACTTTTTGCCGATGTACTGATATTGTTAATAGTATATCGTTGTCGTCATTTTAACGTAATAATTGTTAAATCGTCTCTTTAAGCAGGGTATCTTTTTAGTAAATATAAAACAGATATCACATTGAATAAACACAACGTCTATTTTACCCTTCTAATGTTCAAATGCTGTAATACATTCTTTGTTTATTTTTAATAATCCCTCGTGCTAAGCGTTTCATACAGGTAGCGGGTTCCCAGTTATAACGGTAAACAACGTTATGCAGCAGTAGATAAAATGCAATGTAAATATTCGTAGTGATAAAATTATTACACAGAAATCTCAGATACAAAGCAACGTCGTTGAACAATAACACAAGAAACGTGGTTATAACTTAAGTGATAGTCAAATTGAATCTAAGTCATATATGCATAAAGATAATTTTTAGATGAGAAAAACAATACTTACCTACATTAAGAAACCCAGTTGTTTCCGACCTATTTCCTTGCAGACCGATGCCAAGCACAAGAAAAAGAAGACACTTGGCCGACATCACACGACACATGCCCCGTTATCAATTTACATCATCTTGGACCGCAAGCTTGATCTTTCTCACGCCCCACGGGACGTCTAATTATTTGAGTAGGATATAATTGATCTTCTTTTTTCTCCCCAGTTGATTGTCACGTTACAACATACACTGTTGCCTTAATCGATTCGTCGTTGTCGGACTTATATGAACGCAGTGTACGATGAAGCTTTCCGAACAATAATTCTGGACCTGCGCGACTTGCTTCTGTAGCTGTTGAGGGACACACTGGTGTATTCGCCGCTGCAGTTTACAGGAAATGAGAAGACGGATTTGTTGAAAGGAGGTTCTTATGACAAAATAATGATGTTCCTATTGGTGTGAACCCGATCAATGACAGATATCAGCCTTCATGGCCGTAGGTGCCTTGTTAAAGTCCACACCAATGCCAGATAACTGCATGTGTACTATACATGTCCTTCTACCTTTGGAGTCATCACACTGACATACGTCAATCTTGTGTCTTATTTCAGGCACTCATGCTGGGATCCATTGACACATGTCAATTACATTATTTAATGAAGTCACCCTCTGGAACTGTTCGTGTTCCTGGACTTCTGAAACAATCCAAAGACTTCATTGTTAGTCAGTGTTAAAACACCTCCTCTGGGATGACGTTAGTATTATAGTTGATGTAATTATCACCAAGAACGTTTTCGCATATATATAATAATAATAATAATAATAATGTGTCTATTTATATAGCGCCAAACTCCACACCAGGTATGCTCATAGCGCTAACAATCAAGGCACAGCACATTATTACCCCGGATAACGAATACCGTTTGCCCGACGAATAAGTACAAACTGACATTCTCAGCCTAATCAAATTTACAAAAAAGCATATACTTTTCAAAACGTTAAGCACTACCGGTTCTAATTTTCATTTAACGCCTTTTGGAAAATTCTACATAAAATAATGTGTTGATTTATATTGCTACAAATGCATACGCTAAAGCATGCTTAATGTGCAGTTTTTAATGGTCTAATTAATCAGTGACACGCGATTGCCATTCTCAACTCCCTGGGGAGTACCTGACATTGATATCATTTTTATAAATATCTAGTGAGTGAGTGAGTATGGTTTTACGTCGTTTTTAGAATATCACGGACGGGAAAACCAGAAATGGGCTTCACACATTGTACCCATGTAAGGAATCGAACCCGGGTCTTCAGCGTGACGAGCGAACGCTTTAACCACTAGGCTACCCGACCGCCCCGATAAATATTTAAGCTACTTTCGAATTAACTGATACATGGTAGGCGGCTGATGTTTCAACAAGAAAAATGACCAAAGGTTATGTTAACATTGCGTAATGTCTAAGAATCTTTCTTGGTAAGTTAAAAAGTAGTACCTGTAGTATACTCTTATATTAAATGTATAATTTGAAAGTAGCCTAAATATTGGATAATTGCCTAAATATTGTATGTCTGACCGTCAATCTGATTGTCTTCCAGAAACAGAAACACTGTAAAAGAACTCCGGATGGTGAAAGTGCAAAGCCATTTGCTGCAGAAGTGCAAAGGAGTGTGTGAAGTGAGTGAAGTTAAACGCTGTTTTGAACATCCTTATAGTTTTAGCATAGCATAGTGAGTGAGTGAGTTTAGTGTTACGCCTCACTCAGCAATATTCCAACTATATGGCGGCGGTCTGTAAATACTCGAGTCTGGACCAGACAATCCAGTGAATGGTATCATGAGCATCGAAGTACTGATTAAATTAGATGTTCAAGTCAAAATATGACAGTGTTAGTATAATTTAGTGGCAAATAGTGTGGTTCACACCAGGCAATCAGAGCCGATTGTCTTTATCAAGGGGACAGTTAACCTTCACGTGGTATTTCTGTTCACACTTTATAGCACTTGAGAAGGTTATGAGTGAGTGAGTGAATTTGGTTGTACGCCGCTTTTAGCAACATTCCAGCAATATCACGGCGGGGGACACCATAAATGGGCTTCACACATTGTACCCATGTGGGGAATGGAACCCGGGTCTTCTTCGTGACGAGCGAACGCTTTAACCACTAGGCTACCCAACCGCCCCAGAAGGTTAAACTTATGAGCAGATACCCTTAAATCCATACAATGTTTGTTTCCTTAAGCCAATAACATGTTTGTTTGTTGTTTAACACCGCACTCAGCAATATTCCAGCTATATGACGGTGGTCTGTAAATAATCGAGTCTGGACCAGACAATCCAGTGATCAACAGCATGAGCATCGATCTGCGCAATTGGGATACGATGACATGTATCAAACAAGTCAGCGAGCCTGACCACCCGATCCCGTTAGTCGCTTCTTACGACAAGCATGGGTTGCTGAAGACCAATTCTAACCGGATCTTCACGGGTGTACCCAATAAGAAATATTACTATATAGACTTGTAATAAATGTATGATATATGTTTGTGGTGACTGAAATTTCAGCACGGAGAGGAGAATGTCAGGGAGTTGTTAAGCGGCTATGCCACAAGTCGTTAAAATACCGTACTGGTTGTTACCTTGTCTAGCGTTCGGCAATGAAAAGGTCGGCTCGTAGTAGGTACTAGGTGATCAAGTGTATTCGTGTTAAACTGACAAATGGTATGTCATTGGGATATGGCTATAAAACCGGGATTACTACATCCTGGCATACGCAAGCACACACACACGCACACATACACACGTCTGCCTCACAGTCACCGAACTGTCTGCCCGCCATTCCTGCAATGCTAAAGCCCTAAATGAAGCAAGTATAGATTTCTCCAGGTCTGAATCTCCCATCTCACTGGGGCTCCTTTTCAATTCAAAAGGGATTTTTTGTTTCACATCAAAGTTATAAATATCAAGAGACGAAGCGTTAGCCCATTATGACACTGCCACTGAAACCTCGCACACGCACACGCACACGCACACACGCCTATCTCATAGTATCTGAACTGCCCGTCCCTTCCGCCTAGCCCTTTCTGCAATGCTTAGGGCCTAAATAAAGCAAGTCTAGAATTTCTCGGGTACTGAATCTCCCTTCTCACTGGGACACCTTTTGAATTTAAAAGGGATTGTTTCTTACTATCACAATTATTATATTCAGAGACTAAGCGTTAGTCTCTCTCTCTTTTTCTCTCTCTTTCTCTCTCTACTCTTCCAATTATTATATTCAGAGACTAAGCGTTAGTCTCTCTCTCTCTCTCTCTCTCTCTCTCTCTTTCTCTCTATCTCTCTCTCTCTCACACACACACACACACACACACACACACCCGCCGTGATATGGCTGGAATATTGCTAAAAGCTGCGTAAAACCAAACTCAGTCAGTCAGTCTCTCTCTCTCTCTCTCTCTCTCTCTCTCTCTCTCTCTCTCTCTCTCTCTCTCTCTCTCTCTCTCTCTCTCTCTCTCTCTCTCACACACACACACACACACACTGTATCACACTTATAAATGCAATATTATTGAATGGAACCTGGAACCCTCACAGTCCACATCCTCTGACAACAATGATATGAACAACGTTTGCACTATACCCCTCAGCGTGTTTACACGTTTCACCTTTCGCCAGCTTGTTATGGACTAATGACCACAAACCCAGACAGTTCCTGCATCAATTAGGCCCATGCCGGATCACGTTCCGAGTTTGATTAACTGGACGTTGTGGTCAATGACATATGCCTGCTAATGGCACCAATGGATGGCGTAACGAAGGCACTAATTTTGCTCATCTTGTATCTAATCCCCATCAAAAGACAACGTGTATCCTGATGACGTCTGAAACTTGCATTAAAAGGCCTAAACACCAGTCTCATTTTCGGTAACGCTCCTAATGAATTAGCAAGCAGTGTACTTGCATACCCTCCAGACGTATACCCCCACCCCCTCCAATTAAATATACACAAGAACTTTGTTAAGCACCCGCTGACATATCTCACTATTGAAATTGCCCCGATCTTAACCCTTTAGAGCATATCTGGGACATGATTGGTCGTCGTGTGCAACAAAGGGATCCTCCTGTACAGAACCTGGTCCAATTGGAAGCTGCTTTACTCCAGGAATGACGTGGACTGACCCTTCAGAAGATCATGAGGCTGACAGGGGGTATCAGGGGGAGAGTGCTGGCTGTCATACAGTCACATGGAGGTTACGCTCGGTATTGACCTTGCATCGTACAAGACACGCAGAATGACATTTTGAATGTTCACTTTTACCAATAAATTCAAACTAAACATCCCAGGGCCATACTTGCACAGACATAGTTTTTTTTCAAATGGGCAATTATCATCATAAAATTAACATATGGATTCCAATCATTGTGTCGAGGATCATACGGGTCTGAAAAACTCATGTTTTTCCATCGTGGTCACCACGAGAAATTTTATATACGTGTTGAAATCCTATCATTGCAAAAATACAGGGGTGCTTAATTAAGTTATTTGTGTATGTAAAAGCATAAAACATTACTTGTTAAAATATATTCAGTTTTCACTAAAAGAGACATGAATTGTTTGCTAAAATTATATAATTTAGTGTTCACTAGTAATGTCTATAACAAGTCTGACAATGGAAAACGTTGATGTAAAATGTATCATTTTTGATAACAACCAATAAATTACCGCAATACTTTACAGGAAAGATGCTTTTAAACAATTAATGATGAGTAACCTTGAGATCCAGGATGCATTGTGGCCCGAAGGCTATCGATCCAGGATAAATTGTGGCCCGAAGGCTATCGCTCCGGGAACTAAGTGACATGATTCTAAGGTTATTTTTGTATACTCTGCTAAAGTTGAGTTTTTCAAACCCGACGTGTGTCGAACTTTGTTGAGTCGAACTAACGGTTGTCTCGAAGCAAAAGCTTTGTTACAGAGTATTCCCTTTCAGTCATTATTGTGTAAAACTTCCGATAACTCGAAGTACTTCAAGTAATTCAACTTCGACACAAAGGAGTTTGACCGTAGTCTGTTTTGGCAGCCAATGTTTTGGGGATGTAAAATATTGGAACGTTTACGACAAATGAGGGTAATGTCGTACGCAGGCATGAACTTCTCTTTCGGGTAATCTCAAAATTATAAGGGGCGGTGGAGTAGCCTAGTGGTTAAAGCGTTGACGCCGAAGACCCTCCAGTCCATAAGAAATGTTGATGGACCCGAGATACGGCTCGAACTGGTCTGCAGTAACCAATGCATTTCGTGAGGGGCGCCTAATGGGATCGGGTTATCAGGCTCGTTGACTTGGTTAATGCATGTCATGGTGACCAAACTACTATGTTCATAATGCCAATCACTGGATTATCTGGTCCATAACATAACAGACAGGTTGCTGCAATATAGATTGAGGAATTGCTGGATCCGGCGTCAAACGATAAACTAACAAATAAGCTACGGTAACTTTGCCCTTGCGTTGCTCCCGAAAACGAGCCTTGATATTGACGTGCCGCACCCAATCCCACGAAAACAGCAATACGATATTAATCCTAAAACACATGCATTAAATGTATGTACTTATGTTTTCTAGCATGCAAAATTCCTTCTTCTGATCAAGTTGGAAATCGTCGATATAAAACCGAACGGATTTCTGACGGCGTA